AATTCGGTCGGCTAAACTGATTATTTTGTCAAAAACACAGAATTTACCTTACTTTGTAAATATACTGATATGTAGAATGCATTGAATAGATTCTTGGGATAATAAGTCTACATTTTTAGAATGCTTATCATGTCTGTAAAATGATAATATAAATATTTTATGAAATTCTCAAGTCTCTAAGGTTAATATTCCTTTCTGAATTGAAACAAAAAAAACCAAATCGATATTGTTGGAAACTTGTGCTGCGTGAGTATCCCTATGTTTTCCCGCTGGTTTTTACTTAGTTTTCGACAATTATTTTTAAAAAAGTAGGTACCTACTGGGAAAATATAAAATGTGATAATATAAACTTTTTATTTGTCACAACCATCCAGCGGAGGGGAGGGGAAGTTAGGCGCCTAATCCCTCCCCTCCAAATCCCAATTGCCGCTTATGCCATGCCACAGCTTAAGAGATTACTTGAGCAACTGAAAGAGTTAAGAGTAACTTGTACTTTGTAGCAAATGTATAAGGCTGAATAATTAAGCGTTATAGTATTTAAATATTATACTTTCCTATAAGAAATTAAAAACACAAACTAAACAATACTTGTCATTATAGTGGATGATAGTGATAATATTATATGGACTTCGACATTATAATTATCAGATCGATTCAAGAAATGCGACAATGCTTGCCAAATAGATAAAATAAATCGTTACATATAAATGTACCAATCTGTTGTCAATCATACCGATGGACCTGATAACGCTATAAGACTTCTGAAAACTGATTTGAATTCGTTAAATGTCCGCTTGAGATCGATCAGGCTACTTTTTAAAAAAAGTGTTACTAAACTCCTATACATTTTGTTTGAATTTTTAAAATTTATGAAATTTTAAATGCTGATTATTCGGAAATTAAATTAAATAGTAAATACCTTAAAATGCGGCCTGATCAATCTCAAATACACTACGTAATTTGAACGAACGAATTCAAATCAGTTGTAAGAAGTCTTATCTCGTTATCATGGTCATCGGCAGGATTGACAAAAAGGGCATACAAATGAGCATAAATCATTTACCGTTCACGCGGGCAACGCCGTGAAGGTGACCTTTACGTGCGCGTGCGAGAGCGCTCCGATATTTTATTTACAGAAAGTCAGACACAGGGCCATGGAGAGAAATCAAGGGCCCCAGGGACAAACTAATCAGGGTCATATTAATAATAAAACCTGGCTACAGGCCCTTTCTGAGTCTCCCGGTCCCCAGGGCTACAGCCCCGGCTGCCTCCCCCTTATCTTCGGTCCTGGTCAAACACACTAACGATCACTTACTATTATTGTTACTCTGCACAAATTTACAAGACCCGCATGCATACAATTTGAAAATCACCTATTTTTAACTCCTTAGGTCTTGAAATTATACTAAATGGATATATTTTTAAATATCGCTACCATGGTATAACCGGAAAAAATCGTGTTTTAGTAAAAATCGATTAATTGAACATAATAGAAATAATGAAATTGTAGAAATATTCAGACAGAATTGTCTGTGATAAAATTGGCTGCAATATGCCAATATGCATTGCATCTTTTAAAATTAACCGATAACGATTTGGTTTAGAGTAAAATGACAATCAAACAATATTATACATGTCTACATAAATAAATTTAAATTTAAAAAATAATACAATTAGGTATGTAAAATAAATAAAATGTTCTTCGGTCACGGAAAATTGACTGGGATTTAAAATTTTATATTTAAAATAAAAATACTATTGTGTAATATATTCATTTTGAATTATAAGTTATAACAACTTACTAACAATAGTAACTTATGCATTTAAAAGTTTTGCATTTGAAATTCAATTTATAATATATTTCTAGACCATAATCTTAATGGATTCTATAGCATAAATCTTTATTTACCAAGCCATAATCATAATATTTTATGGAACCATCCAAGTACTAAGCAAATTTATAAATAATTATTACTTTGACTTTGAACTAAACTAGTTTTGAATGTTGCTAAGTTAAAGTTTAATTTCTATCAGAGTTTGGATGCACATGCGGTCAATAGTTTTTAATTCCTTTCACTTTGTTTTATCATATTTTATAAGTGATAATTTGTCCTCTTACATTGTTATATATTTTTAACATTATTCTCTCGTTTTCCATAAGTTACCTAGTCCATCAGTTGTAAATATTTATATAACAATTAGATAATTCATACTTTTTTAAAAGTAATTAAATTGCCTTTGTAAGCATTATGCAAACTATTCATTATTATTTTTAACTCATAATATTAATATTTTATAATTATTTTTTGTATAGTATTTAAATTTAAAGTATTATAAAACAAAGTACATTTTTAATTAACTGTTTAAACAGGATTAGATTTTTTATGTACATACTCGTACTGGAATTACGATTCATGCTGGGAAATTAAATTTCCATTATTTATTAACATTAAAATATGTACTATACTTTCATATAGTAAAATTGTGTACGCATCAAAAATAAAAGCGAAAGTTACATCTCAAGAATGTTTTAATTTTACAATTCGTATTGTTATATGTGTTTTAGGATTTTATTTCTATTTATGAGTATTTTTAATTACTTTAAAAAAAGTCCTAGAGCGTTTTAATATATATTGTTCCATTATAATGGTTAATAAGAGTTATTCGAATTGTGCAATCTGGTAACGATAATAGTGAAACAACCGTCGTTAATAAATACTTAATTTAAATATTTTATATCAATAATCATGCACCTTATATAAATGAGCTAATCGACCCAATATAATGTTATAAGAAAAAAAGGTTTTTATTTTTATACATCTTTTTTTTTTTTGGTAACATTATAATATGCATCAACAATGAATCAAGTGATTATTCGAGTAGGAAATTATTATTCAGTGGTAAATACCTACTTGTAATTTGTAAATTCCTAAACGCGTACCTAAATGCTTCTAAAGATCTCGTATAATGATTCATTATTTATGTTCCAAAGAGCAAAATATGTGATTCGCAATACAAGTGAAATTGATTGGAATATTATAGTTTAGCGTTATTATTTGTGTTTCGACTGATCCCTAAATTTAAATCTTGAATTTCCAATGCGGCTAGCGAAATATTTATATTAGAAAAGTTTAACTAAAGTCTTACATAAAGTTTAACCAACCTGAGTTTATGTTTTTCATTAACTTGACTTCAACCACCATTTAATATTAACATTTTGACGAAGCAAATTTTTATTATAATATTATTATATATTGGTGTACATTCAATGTACATTACCTATATACTATATTAGTATTATTATTTGCTACCCTCCACACAGCCAAGTAGAATGCATAAAATTAGTTGTATATCAATAGGTATACCTACTACGCAATTTACCCTTTATAGCTAGTTTCATTAAAGCAATAAATAATAATTATTTTTCCTGGTAATCAAAAAATCTCAGTACACGCCAAATATGTCTACGAACTATTATACAGCGGTATACCTACCTAGTTTTCATATATTATATTGTTTTTATTGACAACCAAGACCGAAAAAAAAATAAGGAAATAAATAAGTCTGACTCGTCATAGTGAAAAATTATAAACATACTTAGTGATATCGTAATATTTAAAAAAATTAATATTTAACTATCTATAAAATAAGTAGGTACCTAGGTGTAGTTAAGATATCTAAAATTAAATAAAAATATTCTAATAAGCTTAAATTTGACTTATATTTATTCAAATTTGTATATTATCCATATTGTACGATAATTACATAAATATATGGATAAATAAACAATACACATACATAAATAATAAGAATTTAATTACATATTGTACAATTACTTAATACCTTAACATATTATATAATATTATAAATAAATAAATGTATTTTTTAGAAAATCTTATATAGACACTGGACTCACTTGGTTTTCTCCATTGTAGAATATGTGCATTATTATTTTAACTTATTCAATTAACGTATTGGAAAAATTGATCTAACCTACTATGTAACTTCAGCTTATTGATTTTATATACATTTTTGTTTAGTTTGAGAAGAATTCCCCCACACTTTTATCCAGGATTGGGGGCAATTTTATTATTGTTTAATCGCAGAAGTTTTACTCGGATTTTTTAGAATTTTGTTAATGTTTAGAAATTAAATCATTTTTTAATTACATATTTGAATTGAATTATGTAGTAATATTAAAGTTTTTAATTTATTTTAAAACAGTGTTCATTAAGTTAGTTTTTGTATTCGAACTTAAGTTACGATATAAAAAAAAAACCTTTTTATAATATTATATTTTAATCTATAACCAATAAAAAAGCATTTAAGTCCTTGCCAAAAAAATAACTAAAGTAAATGTAGTTTAAAATTATATAAATTTATATTTCTATTAATTAAGTTTCCGGACCGCATAATCGTGGTTTAGTAGTTGTTCGAAAACCTTTTGCCTTTATTGCCTTTGGAAATGCTACACTTATTGTAATATGTTTTTTACATTTTTAGTGTATAGATGATATTCTTTTTTAAAAGTTAAATACGATATATGTTATAGATTATACACGTGAATTACAATATAAAAATTATAAATTTACAATAGTTTATGTTAAATTAACAAGTTCAATGCCGATTTCTGGAAGTATGAAAAAATACATTATTCTACTATTGCAGTTTTCCACGTAAGTTCCGGACGGCGTTATTGCATATATGTATTTTATTTAAATAGTAAAACTCGTAACGCGATTATGAAGCCGATTTCGGTGAGAAATCGATTACATTTTTTTTTTTTTATTTCATCGAGTATTTTTCTCTAGCCGCCTGGTGCGCCCTGTGTATTGCACACGCTACTCCACTGGTCGTTGTGAGTTTGTACATTAGTCGCCTAGGCAGTGGATGTATCGATTCAACTTTAATTTTCATGACCCACGACTGTGGCACAAAACTATACCGTACGCTCTTACTTCCCGAGGGAATAATCCGGCAAGTTAACAACCGCGAAAATTATGACGGTGACGAACCGGGAGAAACGATGCGATGTCCGTACATCGCACATTTTGTCCGTCGCGTGCAATTTGATTAACAAGCGAAACGCCGTAGAGTCCAAATTTTCCACATCGCCAGATTCGCGCCGGTAGGTCCCACTCTACAGTCGACTTATCTAAAGTCTGTACATTCTTATTTACGTCATATCGTCAGCAGTTGCCAAGTTGGAACAAAATTATGTGACATTAATGCGCAGAAAATAAATTGAACAATGAACAATTTAAACGCACCGCGATACGTTTTTTCTATGACGATTAATTTATTTTCTTTATTCCTAAAATTGTATTTTATTTCTCGTTTAGCGCCAAAAATGTAGGTGGAGATAATAGTCCCATGACGTTACCGACACCAGAGGATTCGACTGCTTCGTGGTTAGACGTATGTATATACGTAAATAAATACACTTAAAACTTTACGATATAATAATATGATAGTTTAGCGGTAAATTTTTCGTAGGCCGAGGACAGTTATCAAGTCACCGATTTCCTGGACGAAGCGTCGCGTATACTTCACGACGAAGAGGACTTTTCTGACGCATGCCACGATCGGCTACGATCTGAATATGAACAATGGAAAAAAATTCCTCACTTAAGGTCGTTAAATTATTTACTAAATTTAAAGTTTATCATATAAAATAATTACTATGATTTACAAAAATTTACAAATTAGAGTACCAAAAAAATAACATATTATATACTTATATTATTACCCAGCTAAGAAATCAAGATAAAGCTAAGATTTTTGTTCATAAATACTATAATAAATAAATAAAATTTGTTTTACACCATGTCGGTGGAATATCGAAAAAATAAATACTGTTTTATTTATTTGTAATTTATGACATATAAAAATGAAATTTAATAATAACGATGATAATAATTGTAAAATAATAATTGCGTGATTGTAAATTATTACTAATATTGGGGTGAGTTTTCAAAACTGGTGTATTTGACATATAATATGCAAATAATGGTATAATATATTCAGCAAATATATAATATAGATATGTGATTAGTTTATAAATCAAGTGTAGCAGCACCTAGAATATTTACGCAAATACATATCAAAATTAACAGCTGTTCACACAGCTGATAAACATTCAACATTAGCCAAGAGGAGATATTTTTAGTGTATAAATATGGTGATATTGATTGTATAGTATTATTATAATATAATATTACGTTATATTATGGCTCCCACTCGCCTTCCAGCCAATCTTACCTAAACTAGAAAAAGTTTCTAAATATTAACGGTACGTGTGAAATGTGAATTACAAACTATAATGTGTGTTATATAGCTTGTAATTCGTTGTAATGCATTTAGTCTAAATGATACTAAAAATTATTTATTGGTATATTTTAAACGAATATATAATTTTGTCATAAAATAAAAAATATTTCTACAAAAATTATATTATCTATTAAAAATTGCATTCAGTTTCCAATCGCCACAGACACAACAATATATGCACTAGGAAGCATTTAACCGATTTACTTATACTTATGGCTTAAACTTACACTTGTTTCTTACTTGGATGTACTGTATATTATTAATTATTTACACTGTTGTCAATAATTTATTATTATGACAATGCATAATTGTACATGTATAGCTATAAGACAACTATGAAACAGACCCAGTACATCAGTGTACCTAAATAGACTATCTATAACGCCGTGTGATTATAATTTTATATTCAAATCTAAATAAAGTCGGGGAGTCTACAAAGTATTTTTACTGTATATGTTAAAAATGTATACCACTATGCAAATATTCATTTAATTATTGGCAAAAAAAAATTGTTTCTTAAATGTGTATTAGGGTGATGTAATACATTGGTAGATATATTATTCATCATAAATATCTGTGATCAATAATGTAAAACTATTTTCCAAGTGCTTATCATATTTATAATTTATACGTCCAAAATAGCAAAGTAATGGTAGCGAAATCCAAAGCAAATATAATATTTACAGCGAATAATTGACAAAGGCGAACTATACAACTATCGGAGATAATAATATGTGTACACAATTTATTAGGAATTAGTTCATGGAAATATTGAAGTGTAGACAAGTTAAAATAATAACAAAAGCAATGTGTGCTAAATCCTCATCATAATCTGCGTACTGTGAAATACTAAAATACGATCGACATTCGATACTAACAATAACTAAAATAAAGCCAAGAAGGACAAGTAAGGGTGCGTTTGTCTGCATGAGAGTGTGATGGGAATTCTGATAGTGGGGAAAGGGAGTACGGAGCTCTTCAGAGGAATTTGAGGTTTGTCTATTGGATCCTTTGATTTTTTTTATCATTACGTTAAGTCATTATTTTTATAATTTTTATCCTTTATTTTTAAAATTATTTATTTTACACAACATGCAATCTATTTACAATAGGTTATATATCTATTTTTTTGTTTATTTACATTATTTATCAATTTATCGAATAATTATTATAATATGTATATTAATGGTAGCTATACGTCATGATCACACGGCACCGTTATTAAAACAATAGGTACAAAATATCTATAGATTCATACAGTGACGGATCCAGGGCTTAATTTTTTTTTTTTGTGGGGGGGAGTAAGAAAAGTACAAAAATTGGCTACAAAATTGAATCGGTCATTTCAAAAAGGCCATTTCTCCACACATTTTCAAAACTAGTTATATGTGATAGATGTGTTTTCTGCGATACCGTCATATCTCCAAAAATTTGTTAAGTATAGACCAAAAATAGCGAGTACATTCGAAAAGGCCATTTCTCCAAAAATAACTTAATCGGCAATATTATTTGTTAAAATTCTATTTTCATCTGGTTTATTGTCTATCTGTTGTCGATAACAGTTGATAATCATCAAATAAATAATTCAAGGAGAAGAATTAAATAATTCAACAGTTATTCAATTTCTATCTAAATTTAATTTTGATCTCTAAAAACAGTTTTTTACGTTTCCTGAAAATTTTCATTTTATGGAGATATGGCCTTTTCCAAATGACCGATTCAATTGGCATAGGAAAAAATTTAAGCCCCTCCAAGTCTCTGTCAATTTCGCTTATCAATATACAATATAAAATACCTAATTACAATGTAATAATACAAACATATTTCTATATATAGAACGATTCAGAAATAACAATAGAAGGAAATTACAATCGTAGAATACAACAGTTGACCTTCCCTACAATCACATACACTGCACCAACCACTAACGAATCATAACGCACATACAAAAATATACCTCTAAAATGAATAATTATATTATTTTATTAAAAACAATGAATAATTATATTATATCCTACCAATTTTTTTGAGAAAAATATGATAACAAATAACAATGTTTCTGAACCTTATACTATATAATAGATGCTATTAGTGTCCACGTGGCACGTGCTCATAAATTATGATATTTTATGTACCTATTTTAATCTTAGCCTTTTTGATATTAATTATTTACATCAAACACTCGTAAACACAATAGAAAGAACCAGTGGCGCCGAACTTGGGGATCAAGTCTGGTAATGACCAGACCAACTTTTTAGTGGGTGTGGACGTGTGGTATACTAGTGACGATTTAATTAATACTGTTAACTATAAATTATAATACTACTCATATAATAATTATTATTATTATTATTTAAGTAGGTACCTAAATGATATCAAAAAAAAATCTGAGAAGATCCTGAGTTCTATTTTTAGGGTGGCTTGGAGTGAATGTAATTTGTTCAAGTATATGATTGTAGGTATATATTTTATATACCCTTTCTACGGCATGGAAAGTATATTACACTTATATATACATAAGTTAATTATTTATGAAATATACCATCCGTGACATCTCGCTTTAACCGTAAAAAATATAATTAATATAAATGATAAAGCGTATAAGTCTTATTAATATTTTAATAAAGTGTATGGATAATCAAATATCGAAATCCTCGACGATATCATATTATTGTGGGCATTATTATTACAATTTTTACTGTATATAAGATGGTTAAAATCATGATGTAAAATTAAGTTTAATAATACAGATAATTCTCATCCTTCTTCTGGAATCGTATTCCTAATATCACTATTTCGAGTTACCATAATATTTTAAATATGATTTGGTTTTTAATTTATTACTTTAATTTAATTTATCATGATATCAAGACGTTTAATAATTACCTATATAATAATGAATCATAATTTAGGTACCTATACATATTTATATATGACATCGTCCGTTGTTTTGGAGAACTATTAAATTCAATAAGAAATTTGAACTTTGAAATTATTATAAAATATTAACATAAATTTTTAAATTAAAAAAAAATATATAACAAATCACAGCGATAGTTATACCTGTAGATTAATAATTAGGTATTATGGAATATAATAATATGTTCTATTTCTAATTAAAACATTATACGTTTCACATAACAAGCACTTTAGTTTTATCTGATATTCTGATAAGTGATCTAAAAGTTATAATTCAAAAGAAATATTACCTTTTTAATCTTTCTTACTCTGTTACAAATTAAAAACAATTTAATATTAATTTATTTTACCATATACGCAGATACATATTAAATAACATAATATTACGCCTCAAAATCTACTGTAGATAGAATATCGACCTACTATCATTAGTTTTAATTCAAGTATAAATTATTTTATGTTCTAAATGTTCTAATACAGCCAAAAATGTAATCCTTTACATTTATAACACAAATATTGGCTATTATATTTTATTTGATCTGAAAAACGTGAACGATTTCAACGATTAATTTTCCCTCAATTACAATTTAATGTAAATCAATTAAAAAGTTCATCAAATAACAGAATATTGTTGGTATAATAATATTATGTTTTATTCTTATTTTAGACTCAAATAAATGTATTATAAATATCTTTTAAAACTTTAATATATTTTGATAATCGAGATAAAATAATCTGATTTTTTCATGAATTAGTTGATTTTTACGTATTTTTAACTACCTATGTTTTAACTCCAAGCTCTCGCTCTGTGTATATATTTTAAGGCAAGTTTTTTCTATTGATTTTCTGATAGTCGACGAATACATTTTGGGTTAAATGACAGTCCCGAACCCGACTTACAGACCCTTGCTATTTACACTTAATGTATACATATACCTAACTGATGTCAACATCGCAAATTATACAGAATATATAGACAGCACATCAAGCCATACGTGCATAAAAAGGTTAGGTTAGCTATTTATAAAAGGTTCAGTGTCAAAGCTTATATTTCACTCAAAATATAAAAATACTTAGGTACTTAAACGTTAAAATTTATTAGAGATTTTAAATTTGTATGTTCGTATAATTTATCAAATTTCTATGAACTATAATAAACTGGGTATCCTATTCTCCCTTAAAATAATATTTTTTAGTTAAAAAAAATTAGATTTAACATAAATAATATAGAAATAATTCATCATTACTTGAATAGTCGAATGGTCGAAAGTACCTAATTTATAAAATTATATCTACATGAATATATAATTTATATTATTATTTTTAAATAAATAAATTACTTTACATTAACTATACTTGTATGCAAAACCTTAATAATATCCATACAAATTGCATACCTACACTACCTAATTATAATTAATAATTCTAATACATTTTACACATTTGTATTGGGCTTGGTCTTGGTCTCTTTATCCTTCCGGGATCACCACACTGTATATTTTGTAACAATGTCTCGGAACAATCAAAACTCAGGGAAGTTTATTGCCATATTGATATATCTTTGATTGTTAAATATATAATTGACACAATATCAGTTCTATATTTTGTTATTCGATTTGTTTTAAATCTTGAAAAATTGTACTTAACATTTTAAAAGTTCATCCCACTAAATCAATGTTCACACTTCACAAGTCATCATAAATATATGTTAGATAATAGACGACAAGAAACAATTTTCATTTTTATGTGATTATTTATTTTTGTATTCTTCACTCAAAGTAGTTTAACTTTAACGATATAAACAAACGTTTGAATACAAAAACTTTTATTGGCAAACAATATATTTATTCCATATAACAACACAGTAGGTATCAGAGTATCTCAATGTAAAGTATTTTGTTTGAATATTTATCATTAGAAATAATCTTGGTTTAATTATTTTTCCATGTTTTAAATAATGACATTGATTTCAAAGATGCTAATATAATGAATTATGTTTGTGAAAACTTTAAAAATTAAGTGTTAAATTATAATAGATAGGTACAATGAAATGAGTATTCAGAGTATTCCTAATTCGTAAATTTGTTTAATATATTTTGGTAATTAATGTGGAATTGTAGAGACCTTCCAATATATTATACAACAATACCTACTATAATATATAATTGAATAGGTAATTTTTTGAAAGAACAGTAATATTTAAAATACTTGGTTTAAATAATTGAGTTCCTGAAACTTTAAACAAATATTGTGTAAAATACAAAGGAAGATAAGAAATTTAGGAATTTAAAAAAAAAACAAAAATTAAACTTCTTTAATACTAGATAGGTAGGTATGTATGTAACATAAATATTACTATTCAGTTATATAGGTAGGTTCAGTCTTATATTTTTCCCCGGGCAGCATCTAATTCTGAAATTGAAAAAGGCTCCTCTTTCCAATCTGTTTTCATCCTGCCATGGGTAATCTAGAATATCAGGAGAATTTGGCCATTTCCACAGTTTCCCACTTCTTTGCATAGCAGAAATGGTTGTTTAAACTAGTGCAAAGTTACCCAAAAAACGCATCACCGTTGACAAAATTGAATGAAAACATTTTTTTTTATACTCAAGAAATATTTCAGTGCATCTTTAAGTTATTTCAGAATATTTATAATAGCTGCGAATAGATCACTTATTTGTAATAATGTTGTGTATTCCGGACAGATGCAGATTTTACTGCACTTTTTGATAGCAAAATCTGAACTGCATTAAGTTTTGATTTTATTATATGGTTATGATAACATAATATATCACGTATATAATATATAATATAGTAGTTTCTAAAAAAATAACCTAATCCATGATAAAAAAAAAGCGCACTCGAAACAAGTATTACCAATCACAAATGTAACGCCAGATAATTTCAAAACAAATAATATGATAATTGGTGCAATCTTACTAAGGTTTTCTAACCCCGTGTAACTAAAACTGAGATACACTCAAACCGAAATACACCTATTTAGAGTATAATATACTATATAGGTTATTTTATCTATAAGGTATTGCGTATAATATATTATGGTAATATATGACTACATAGTATTAGTGTGTCTATCATACTTTAATTTGTATTTGAATGCATTCAATATTTTTTAGAAATTTGGATTTTTATAGTAAAAAATATTGAATATTACAGAATAATTGGAAAACGAATTGAATATTCATGTGAAAAGACACTGGAGGATGATAGACAAAGTTACCAGGTTGACAGTAGACCATCAACCTCTAACAACGGGGATTTAGATTTACTGCGCAATCAAGTTATAAAGATCATGACGGAAACTTTATGGCAACGAATATTAGACAAAACTAGCATCAAAAGTGTATGTCAAAGGCAATCTGTGTTAGAATCACGACGAAATTCTTCCGGTCGAATAGAGTCTGCATTAATTGTTTCGTCGATACTGCCGGCTAACAGACCATCGATAATGTTTAAGTCCCGATCGAATTTAGAAACGGTTTACCAAACCTGCAGTGGACCTATATGCCAACAAAAAAAGTAAATAACTAAATATATTTATTAATAGTTTGAACAATTCATTCGAGTCATTGTCGTAAAAATTATTTCTAATGCTTTTCACCTATAACCGCCATTTTAATAACTTAAATTTATTTTCTCGAAGCGTCGTAACATAAAATATACCTACACCTAGATATTATATAGTACGTTATTGTTCGTGCTTTTTTATAAAAATTCAGCCTAGAAATCTATAGTTACATATAGTTAAGTACGATATGAGTATGACTACCTATGGAATATTATGGATATATATTTAATATGAATATATGAAATAATATATTGCTTACCTATATAATTTCTTTATTCGTCAAAAGGTCATTTGCATGGTGAATCTCCAAAAATTAAAAAATTCTGAAAATGGGTTGTAACAATTATAAATTAATGGATAGTTTGGTGATATACCCGTAGGTATGTTGTTATTGTTGGAACATGGAATAACAGATTACGATTAGATTTTTTTTTTGGTTTAAATTGCATAATATTTAGTTTTATTATTTTCTAGAAGTAATTTTTTCTTATTTACCTGAGGCATTTGTGTCCACTTTCTAAATTGTATTGTATAATGGGAGAATTTCATACCAGAATAATATATTGTTGGAAATAGTACCTAAATCTTTTATGAAAAAGTTTTAAAATGGTCTTTTTATAGACTTTCTGGGTGAATTTACCATTAAATAGCGCCGAAATGTACACATAACAACCACATTCCACATTTTATTCTGTGTAACAACTATTTTAATTCAAAATAACTGATAACCACATTTTATTTTAAAAACATGTTTGCTTTATAATTTCCAGTAACAAAGAATATAGAAAAAAACCATGGCCAAAAAGCAACGTCAACGTTTTACCACCTATCGAAACACATCAAATAGTAAGTTATTTAATCCGTAATGCTTCATCTATAGTTCAAAGTATGACGCACTACAGACAAATAATAATATTATGTAGGAACCTAGTACCTACCACGTTTCATGTTTTGCGTAACCCGTACCTATATAATTAATAAAATAATTGGAATATAATGTATAGGTATCGATAACAATGTAGTAAATTATAATAGTAGAATGTAGCTATCATAGTCTATTATGACGTACCTATAGGTACTTAATCATACCAGTGGCGGATCCAGGGTTTAATTTGGGGGGGGCCTCCTTTTTTTTTTTTTTTTTTTTTTATTATTTATAAGGTATATACAATCTGTTCTTTTAGGAACAATAAGAATATGTGATATTTTAAAAGTTTATAACATGATTACGTGATGGGAGGAGTCACCCAGTGGTTACACTACCCTTACTTGATATTTTTTGTTATTTTATTTTATTTTTTTTTTTTTTTTTCTATAATGTTTGCTCATTATTGTGTGTTACTCATTGAGAAGATCTCGACACCATTTTCTTCTGAGCCTCCTAGGAGGGTTCCCAGGAATTGTGAATGTGGAAAGGTTTGAAATGAGGGGGTTGGTATGAGAAGGAAGTTTTGAGTGGAAACGTTTGTAAAAGGTTACTGCTTCTTCGTGGACTGTTTTAATTTTTAGATCGGTGTGTAAAGTTAGGTTTGAAATATATGGAGGAGAGTTTGTGATTTTACGAAGGATGTTGTTTTGGAAGGTTTGAATTTTATTAGTGTTCGATTTTTTGGCATTGCCCCAGAGTTGAAGACCATAGGTCCACATAGGCTTAAACAAGGACTTATAAATTAAGAGTTTAGTATTTAATGGAGTGTGTTTGTTTTTGGTAATTAGAGTTTTGAGGATGCGGAGTCGTGCATTTAGGGCTAGCCTTTTAATTTTAATATGATGTGACCATGTGAGTCGACGGTCAATTGTCAGACCTAAGTATTTAGCCGATTGAGAGGAAGGGATTTGAATATTGTCTAGATAAACCATAGGACAAGGAGGAAGACGAAGGGTGAAAGTTGTGTGAAGTGATTTGGATTGGTTAACTTTGATACGCCATTTTTTATACCAATCAGCCATGAGGTCCAGGTGGAGTTGAAGATTGAGGGAAGCTGTGTGAGGGTTATCATGGATAGAAATAATAGCCTTGTCATCGGCAAACTCCGCAACAGATGTGTACGGAGAGGTTGGTTGATCGGCAGCGTATATGTTGTATAATAGAGGAGAAAGGATGCCCCCCTGAGGAACACCTGCACTAATTTTTGCTAAGCCAGAAAAGGATGTGCCAACTCTGACCTGAAAGTAACGATCCGTGAGGTAGGATTTGATTAATAAGTAGTAGGTTGGATGAAATATTGGCTTTATTTTATACAGCAGTCCCTCGTGCTATACCCTATCGAATGCTTGGGATATATCCAAGAAGACGCAGGAGCAATAACTTTTTTTTTCAAGGGAGAATGAGATAGCATCAACTAGTCTGTGTAGTTGATGTATTGAGGAATGAGCGGAACGAAAACCAAATTGAGTATTTGGTAATATGGAACTGGCAGAAATGCATGGAAGAATTCTTTTAAGAATTAATCTTTCTAAAATTTTGCTGAAGAAGGGGAGGAGACTTATTGGTCGGTAGGAGGAGGACATGTCAGGGGGCTTATTAGGTTTTGGAACTAGAATTGTTACAGAGAATTTCCAAAGCATGGGAAAATATGACAATCTTAGGCATGCATTATATATAACTGTGAGAAAAACAATGGCTCTTTTGGGGAGGGACCTGGCCACTTCTGCAGTTATCAGGTCGAACCCCGGAGATTTTTTGAGACTGTATTTTTGAATTGTAAATTTAACGTCTCCAGGAGAGAAATGCTTAACTGCGGGAGAGATAGAAAGAGGGATATCAAGTAAACGATTTACTTTGTCAGTATGTGAAGGAATTTGTATATCCTGACGAGGCGTGCAAGTTTCAGTTAGATGTTCTTTAAACAGTTCTGCTTTTTCAACATCGGTTGAAGCAAATCCACCGTGGGGATTTATTATAGGAACGAGCGACGGTTTGAATTTTAGAAGGCTTTTGGTAGCTGCCCAAAGACTGCCATTGTTAGGTGATAAGTTGGAGAGATGGTTTACAAAAGATTGATTTTTATGTTTAGCTAGTATTTTTTTCAGCGAGTTAGATAGATTGTTATAAATACGTTTGTGGGATGGAAGACGTGAACGTTGGTAAACGGCCCTTGCTCTGCGCTTATTGGATATAAGGATACGAATATGTTCGGGGACTGAAGCAGCAACATTTGAATGCTGTATTTTAGTAGGACCAGAAGCCCATGCTGCAGATTGGATTACATTTGTTAGGTAGTTTATGGCTTCATCAATTTCTTGGGGGGATTTAAGACTAACTTTGAGATTTATATTTTTATCCACCAGGCCTCCTAAAAAAAATACTTCTAAGCCATAAATACAATAATAATAATATCTATACTAATATATAAAGCTGTAGAGTTTATTTGTTTGAACGCGCTTATCTCAGGAACTACTGGTTCAAATTGAAAATTTTTTTCTGTAATTAAAAAGAGGAATCTGTTGAAAAGGTCGCCCCCCCCCCATAGATCCATCACTGTTTCATACCGATATTCAATAATTTAAATAAATCCGACTTACCAGCTACTCCTTAAAAAAACACCCTTTTCTACTATAATGATATTAATATTATGAAAGTTACCTTTATGTATCACGTGTATTATATTAAGTTATGAAGTTTATTAATATTCCCATAACAATTTGAGTTTACATAGAAATTATAACTAAATCACATAATACACGTACCCCTTGCTCTTGGGTTACGCTATTGAATCCGTTCAAACTGAATAATGAACATCATTATAAACTATGAGATACCCATAGTAATTTAGATATTGACCTCTTTACATGAGATACCTTTTAAGACCAAATCGTTTACAATTATTCGGTTGATTGAAAACGGTGTCGATTAATTTATTAAGGTGATAAAAAAATTTAAAGCTACCTACAATAGTAAGTATGGATATTATATTTTATTTTATATACCTACTTTATATTCTATATTTCTATAGACTCAGAGCTCAGACACTATTTAAGTACCTAGGTACTTACTTGTGTTTGCTGATACAAACAGAAAAACGGTAATAAATGTATAATAGTTCACACAAACACTTATTATTTTGCAAAAACCCATAGGTACCTACTTAAAACTTTAGGAGGGCACAATTATTTTAGTTGAAGGTCGTGAATAATTTATATCAGCTGTTACCGCACGAGACATAACTATTGTAATCATGTAAAATATTGTCTTGTTTTTTTTAGACAAGTCATTAATCATCCTTACAATATGAAAATACATTTTGTGAATTTGTGATTGTGATATATTATATAATAGTATGTTTTAAGCCACAACGAATTTACTATTTATTATACATATTAATAAAACGTGTGTTATATAAATGTAGGTATAGGTACAAGGTACTGTCTACAAAAACAAATAAACATAATATATAGTATAGACAGATAGGAACCTTATAGTACCTAATAGCACTTATATTTTCCTTCAACCTCGCGTGACTATATTGTATGAATATCCTTCAAGCCTAAATAAACGCCATAAAAATAATTTAATCAAATTGTATTTAACATCATTAATATCAATCAAATCATAGGTTACATTATAGGTATATTTATTGTAAGTACTAAGTACACACCTACCTACTCATCAATGATGTGTGTATAATAGATTGTGAAAATATAATATTTTACATTTTTAATAGATTTTAATCCATTTAAATGATTCAATGATGAACACATTTTATGTTATTTATCGATGACATGTCACATTGTCACACTACCTATATCCACTACAGTATCTAAGCTACTACCTAACTTTCTTTATACACAATTGAAACATCAAAAACACATAACATATAAAATATTAACAGTATGTACAACCACATGAGGCTTAAACAATTTATTAAGGAAATTAAAAAGCTCGAGCATAATATCCTACACTGAATCATCGAACGACTGTCGATTTTCGGACACATTGTGCAATGTGTATAACTGTGTCATAATATTAATTATTTATAATATATAATACTATTAATTATTATACTTTCAGAAGACAGTGGATAAAAATAAACGCTGGTTTTCGGCCGTTAGCACACCTGGTAGAAACCATGCATTACCGAGACCAGTGACTTCGGTTGCGACTCACGTCAACACTTCGGTAAATAATTAATACCTAATAATATAATATTATATGTACCTCCACTCTCCAGGCAGTAGTCACGTGCGTGAAATTGGCTCTACTCGCCATGAGCAAATCCGAAATCGTTTCCCAGTCTGATATCAAAAAATAATAAGACTTGGGGGAGGGGGCATTTTCACGCAGTCCATTCGTATGTATAGCTATCAGCTATAGTGACTTCAAAATAGTACAGATATTTGCAAATATTTAAAATAGGTTTTCAGAATTTTCGAATCATTTTCAAGATTTAAAATAAATATCTTCGAAAATCAGATAATTCCAAAATTCTACGAATTATTTGCAAAATGAATACCTACGTAATTTTCAAATAAACTGCAGGTCGTGCAACTTCGCATGTCTCAAGGATGTTCTAGAATGTGACCGTTTATTATGATTTTAAATATTTAACTACCCAATTGCAATTTATTTTCTTTGAAAAATTAATTGCTAAATTAAATAAATAAATAAATTGTGTAGGTAGGTACTTAAAAATATCGTGATGTAAATATGCGCTATGCGCGTATAGTGCATAAAAACATTTATTGAACTCTACACATCCGATTCGGTGATAATAATATTATGTGCGTGATACTGTAATGCGATGAGTATAAGTATAAGTATCTGATAGAAATCCCTTTTATACGCCGAATAAACTCCTTGTCATACACTATAAGGCTGGTTCGTAGAACAATATAATATATTATAATATTATGTGTGTACACAGGGAATAAAAATATAATATACAATATTACCTCCACGTTTATTTTTTGTTTTGTTTTCTAGATAAACGTGTGTTTTGACATATCTATCGACGGCAAGAGTATCAAAAGCTTGAAGAAAAAAGGTTACTGTTCCCCGTCGTGATTATGCAGCGGACGTAAAAATATGCCGCGATCGCGTTTACCTTCGAAAAACTACTATATATGTTTGAAAAAAAATTTGTTTAAAAAAATAATAAAGGAAACATATTTTTATCTATACACAGTATATAGTATTATTATTTTAACATTATAATATTTCGATGGCGTGATAAATATTATATATCGAGCAGCGCAGAACACGCCGTTGCCCGCATAATATTGTATAATATGTATCGTAGGCACATAATATTATAAATATATGTATCGTACGCACATAATATTATAATAATAATATCGTCGTCGTCGACCACTGTTTTTTTTATATGTTTTTTTAGGTTTTTTCCACTGTGAAACGAGTGCGTAACGTCCGTACGCGTTCGGCCGCGGCCCGCCGACGACGATCCTATTTACGGTTTATACTTTATATTTACTCTTCCCCGCCACGATTCGCCACCTCCACCACCACACCGCTTCCGCTTCCATGGCGAACTTGTGTATATGTGTTGTGCGCGACGATTATGTATATATATATATATATATATATATTAAATTTTTTCTTTCATTTTTATTTTCGTACGACTCGCGGACGCGCGCACGCCCGCCATAAGGTCAGCGCGACCGAAGGTGAGTCGGTTTGGCAGACAAATAATTATTGTTTGATTGTGCGCACGTATATAATATTATGATATTATATACCTACGAGTGTTGTTGTGACGTTATGGTATCGTTATAATATTACCTATTTTATACGAGCGATAATGTCGGTAGAACTCATCGTTACGAGCGTAGTAAATCTCCCGCGGCCGCCGCACCAGTAGTAGTGGTCCTGTTGAGTTCCGCCAACTACACTGCAGCTGTTGCTTTGTGGTCGCATTCGGCTCGACGAGACGTCTCATCGGCAAAGTTTTCGTCGATTTTTTTTTTCGATTTTTCTTGGCCGAGATCCGGCGGTCGTCGTACGCAATACCGCCTATATCGTATCGTACGCTGCTCGCGTAGTGAGTGTAATATTATTATACAGAGTCACTCGTGTCGTCGGCGTCGTCGCCGCTCGTTTCTGCCGCCAACCGACATGAACGTAATGTCCCTCGGGAGCTCAGCAGCTGTCGTCAAGTAGTCGCCAATATACGGCAGCACCGCGAGAAGAAGCTGCAACGTCGTCAGTGGCCCATAAAGTACATCGCGTCGCATTATTATAATATACCTTAAAGTACATTGAGTTTGTCGTGTGTGCGTGTGTGTGTGTGTGTGTGTGTGTGTGTGTGTGTGTGTGTGTGTGTGTGTGTGTGAGAGAGCGTACATGCAAGCCTCGACGAGGGGATGTATTCTACGAGGCCGTCCGAGATGAACGAGTACAAATATTCGAAAACCGCTTCGATGCTCGGCAAGCTCGTCCACGTAATAAGGATTTTCGGCGTGTTCACAGCTATCGGTAAGGCACCGCATTGATTTGTTCCATAGTTGTATGTCTCCTATAATAGGCAGGCACCACAACCCTGCAGTAAAGTGCACGAACAACTGTCGTATATCTACGTGGTTAGGTCACTATTTCACTAAACAGCCATTTTATCGGTACATTTATAGATATATTTGAACATTTTTTTATTTTTTTTATACAATTTGGGGTCGTTACAAGTACAAAGAGAAGTTTTTGAATTTTTGAAACACTCTTATAATATAATGAAAACGATAAGAAAATGGTCGAATTATAATTTTGTTCAAGTTATTAATAATTGTCAAGCAGCAAATTGTGTAAAAAAATAATAATGTTATCGAAAACACTTAAATCCAGCGAGAAACAGACTGTTCAGCAATACAATTATAATTTTACTGTTTGTCGAGTAGGTATATACCTACCTCGTACGTCTACTTGTCTAAAATCCTCTAGCTGTTATCTGCATCGTTGTTCTAACTTTCATACTTATACTTATTTCATTTAGATGTATGATATAGTGCAGTAGACGAAATTATATAGATATTTCAATTTGATATTAAAATGCAATACAATTATGATACACTCCTCATTATAATATTATATTTTATAATTTTTCAGTCATGTTCGGGGTAGGTGTCGACATCGCGATACATCACCATGAATTTGGACTTTACATCATGTAAGTTTATAACTGTACTTACCTATATATAGTTTAAATACAATACACTTACACTCACCACCAGTGACGTAGCCAAATTTATTAGGTAAAGGGGATATGCCCCTCTTCATCGACTGTACTATACCTAAATTATATTGAAATTTATAAGTTCACGTGAATACTTATAAATTCCTAATTCTTTTGAGAATCGATAATACGTTATCTGATAAATTCATTTTTATTTATTCGTATGGTATCTGATAAATGACTAGGTAATGCCTAAAGCAAATGAAAAATAATTTGATATTTTTATATAGTAAAACTGCTCAAGTAATTTTGCATATTGCTTTGGAAGTTGTAACTGTCGCTTGTTTTTCTTCCATATTCAATTTAAGTAAAATTTCACAATGCCAAAGCTTAGCCAGACTAAAGCAAGAAGTTTAGAAGCTCTTTATAAAAATTCCAATAATTAATAATTTAAGAAATATTTAAAGAACTAACTATAATTGTTTCAAAAGTTAATATCAGAATAAAAAAAACCGAACATGCGGAAGACAAACTAGTCATTCATATACAATTAGGTATTACAAGTGGCCTTGAAGAATATTTTTAATTTACTATAAAAAATCGTTATAGTATTTATATAATTATTATTTATTATTTTTCTTGATAGTATTATTTTAAAGTTACAAATTACATTTGATAAGAGATCAAAAATATAATAACCCTTGGAGGACTAAATCCTGTAAACTTTAGTGCGTATTACAACGAAACAATATTGTATGAAGCAAAATAAATTAAACTGACCTTCCTATAAATGTCTTAATAAATCTTAAAACTGAAAATATTATATGGTGAAACGCTGAAACCAATTGAAAGATAATGTTACATATATACAAATTATATATACAATAAATGGCCTTATTAAAAATAAAATAAATATGAATAAATTTCAGAATCAGAAATTATTTGAATTTTTGAGGAAAAGCTCCTAGACGTCTTCGTCTATTACATTGGGCCAAATTATTATTAAATTTAAAAATGTTTGGAGTCGTTATGTTATACTTAATACAAAAACCAATTATTATACTATATTATTAAAAAATATGTGAAGAAGGAATAATTTGTTTACAGTTGAATGTTTTTAATTAACCGAGCCAATTACGTATGCACCCCCCCCCCCCCACACACACTCACAATACCTGGTCAAAATGTTAATCCTTACTGACATTTTTCCGTTGTTGTTCGAACAACATAAATATTATTATTGTTGTCATTTAATGGTCTTCGTTTATATTTAGACAATTTGTTGAACAAGTATGTTGACTAATGGGACTTTCATAATATATTAAAAAAACCATCAATGCTGTACACAGAAGGTCATTTTGCGATAAATATATTAACGGTTTATTGTTTTTTTTTTTTATATTGACATTTAAAATGTGTTATACCTAGGTACTATAAAAAAAATACAACTATTATACAACAAACGATGTTGTAGCAATATTACTACAATAAATAACAGGGCATAGGCACAAATATTGGTATGACTAATAATATAATAGTAATATATTATAGTAGGTGCCTACAACCTACCCACTAAAACTGCGTCTATCTGCTATCCATAGAACATTGTTCAATCACCGACGGGGAACTTCTTTCAAACGGCTTCTCTGTTAATGCATTTTACCTACACCGTTTATCGTGTGAGCATTGAGCTAAAATAAGACTACGTGGATTTTAAAAAGTTACACTTTTACGCAGTGGCGTACGCAGGGGTAGAGTAACCTAGGGTATAATGGCGCATGGGGCAAAATGAACTATTGTGTATAAGAGTAATTTAATAATTAGGTAAGTACTACCTAATAATTAGGTATCTGGTCAAACATTTTTGTTATTATGATTATGTTATCCTAGCCAAACGTGATAAAACATTTTTTTCGGCAGTTTATGATGTTTTGGCGGCAATATGAGGTAAAATATTAATTTTATTCGTCTGATATAATATTTGAGTAGTATAGAAGTAGTAATGTGTACTATAATATAACGGCACGTTAGATGTTGCTTTTATATATATTCGTTTAGTCACCTACTAAACGTCAATACTAATAAAATATTAATATGATAACAACTGAATATACTACAATACTGTTTATGCAGAAAATCATATTGGGGTAAAATGGCTTAGTGGGTTTTGGGGTAAGAGTGCTCAGTATTTCTTTTATGATTATTGATTACCTACCTACTTTTATAAACATTTAATTTTTCTAGCTTCAAATTTAATTAATTATATCTATAATCTATTTATTTATTAATTTATTTAAGCTAATAGGTACATTATATCTACGATGTATAACTATTAACAAATGTTTAAATAATATTATGTAATATTTATTGAATAATTATACTTAAAAAAATTACTTCGACTTAGTATTTACTACTAATACTGTATTAATTATATATTATATTAGAAACTATTATATTATGCATGCATATTATATATATTTATAACTTATTATTTGACAAAAATAAAATATTATATAACATTCTTTAATAAAAAAGATTTTTATAAATTAATTTAGCATGCGGCCTATTACCCCATTAGGTGCTCACTTTTATCCCAATAATGGGGTAAAAAGACGCATTTGTTATAATTTCTAATTATTCAGAATTTTAGATTCTGAGCGGAGCGATGAATGTATTGGTTTTACAATGATGTATGTTTTTATATTTTTATATTTTAGATTCTGAGCGGAGCGATGAATGTATTGGTTTTACAATGATGTATGTTTTTATATTTTTATATTTTTATATTTTTATTTATATTTTTGTGTCTGTCATCACGTTTTAGGACAGTAAAAGTGCTTGGATTTTCTTCATCAGTAGCTTTTCTGATAGGAAAGTGAATCTAGTTGGTACTTTGGGGGGTCAAAAGTATAAATTTCGCAGTAGTTTTCACAAGCGCCGGGAAAAACAACACAAAAATTAAGGAAAAACGGGAATTTTTACGCAAAATTGGTTTTCCAAAAAATCGATTTTGGTTATTGGTGTAACTCTAAAACAAATGAACGTATATACATGAAAATTTCACTGGTTGTTAATATTTGCATTTTCTATACACGATAACATTTTCAAAATATTTTGATTTATTTTGAACTGTTTAGGGACATTTTCATTTTCCATTTTTTTTTAGTTTTTTTTCTTAAAATATCAATAAAATTATATTTGTTGGTTGCGAAAGCTTGAAAATTTAATAGAAGGCTCCTAATATGTTGTTTCAAAGGCAGATGAAAAATATTAAAAATCCTTAGTCACAATTTTTTTTTATAAGCATTTAAAGTTCAAAAATTGACAAAATATGGAAAAATCACGAAAATTAGCAAATTATTTTGAGTTAAGAATTCGTAAAAATTTTTCTTTTTAAATCTAAGATTTGAAAATGAAACACAAGATTCCTTATAAGATTATCTACCTTTATCAATAAAAAAATCTCTACCGGACAGTTAAATTAAATTTTTATGAGCGTTTGAAATTCAAATTTTTACAACATTGGATTTTCACTCGATTTCTCATGTAGCGATTTCCTTATTTTGTTGTAATTCAAAAACGAATAACTGTAGATACATGAAAATTTCACTGAATGTTTATATTAGCATTTCCTATACACCATACAATTTTGAAAATATTTTGACTCTTTTTGAGCTGTTTATGGACATTTACAGCTTTCAATTTTTTTTAGTTTTTTTTTCTATAAATATCAATAAAGTTTTATCTGTTGGGCCAAAAAGTGTAAAAATTTAATACAAGGCTCCTGATATATTGTTACAATATCAGTTGAAAAATATTAAAAATACATAGGCACGATTTTTTTTTATAAGCATTTAAAGTTGGAATTTTGACAAAATTTATCAAAATCTCGAAAATTATCAATCGTTGGAATTAAAAAATTATAAAATGTTCAGTTTTTATAACTAAGAGTTGAAAATTTAAAACAAAGATTCTCTTAAATAATTCATACTGTAACCAAAAAATCTAAAAAATATATAAACACACTTATTTTTTACAGACATTTTAATTTCAAATTTAGACAAAATTTCATATTTAAACCAAGAATTACGATTTTAGTTATTTTGTTGTGATTGAATAATACTATTCGTGGGTACTTGAAACTTCTAAAGTGTACTATTATATATCTATGATAGTATCACGGTTTTTGTTGATGTATAACGCGTTATAAGTATCTAATGGATATTGTGATATGATTAATTTTGGAATTTATTATAGGTACCTACTCGTATTATAGGTCAATTTTTTTTTTAATACCATAGAAATGTATATAATATGTGTTAAACCTATACTGACTACCGTCTCCACTCAGAATCGTTTTTCTTATACAATGATATTATATCATTGAATTCAAATTTAATACCATCCATTATACAGTGACCCACTTGTAACCTACTGTACAGCAGAGCGACACCCACTTGCCCACCTTTTTGGTATTTGCTTTGGTAAAATAAAATCAACTTTTGACCGGAAAATAGAAATCTATGTAATATTTATGATAGGAAAACAATATAACAATATTTCTAAAACATGTATGCTACCACATACCAGCTGTCAAATGTTAGGTGCGCCATTATACCCCTGGTTAATCTAAGGTTCTAGGGTTCTGACCCCTCCCCCCAAAAAAATGTATTCCTTTAACAAAAAATCTTATTTATCACAATTCCAATACAGAGTCGATCAATTGTTGGTCATTTTTAATAGATATAAAATAAATTGTTAAATATGACAAATACGTCGATAATCATAGTTTCAGTTTTTTGGTTGGTTTAGAACATTGCTAAACGTCTGCCACAACCGTCAAATGGTGTATTATCATGTATCATCGTCCATCGATTATTACCATGTTTATTACGACCCGATGAGGCTCTATAGATGGCCAGGTGTCCGGTTTAAACACTCGAGTGTTCTAAATTTGGGCGGCACCCGTTTCGCCCAAAATCAACCTTTCCCGTTTCGCCCAGATACCCGTTTCGACCAAAGTCATTTTAGTCGTTTACAAATTAAGTTGGCAATGATTTTTAAATAATATAGTATTTTAGTATACCATATAATATTATGCTTATGCACCTATTATAATTAACTATTAAAAAAAAATTACATAATATTATAACATATTACTATTTTCTTATATATTCAATAATCAGCTATTTATTTTTTTACATACAATACAGGCATTTTCCCAATTTAAATTAATATTTCAATAAAAACTTTTATTCTAACTCTCCATCAATCATAAGTTGGTTAAATATTATACGCAATGAGATCCAGACAGAAACGTATATCAAAATGAATAGTGTTGAAATTCCCAAAAAAACAAAAGACAGAAAGACGAAGGAAAGACAAGAATACAACGAAAAACGTATACTTTTATATAGATCTGGCAAAATTACTAGTTACGAATTTGTAAAAAGCATGTGTAGAAATTTTAAAAAAGAAAATTTAATAACTTAACTTAATTTTTATAAAACATAATAATATATTATATTGTGTAATGCTTTTTTTTTAAAATAGTTTTTAGTAGACAGTAATATTTGTATAAATGTATAATATTGAGTATGTATTTTTTAAAAACTTTGGCAATGACTACAAAAATAAAAACTGGTAATTTGTATTATAATTTTTAACTGTAAAAATGTATTTTTAAATAATTATACTAAATATTAATTTAAATTGGGAAAATGCCTGTATTGTATGTAAAAAAATAAATAACTGATTATTGAATATAACTTAATTTTAGTAGAAAATAGTAATATGTTATAATATTATGTATTTTTTTTTTTTTTAATAGTTAATTATAATAGGTGCATAATATTATATGGTATACTAAAATACTATATTATTTAAAAATCATTGCCAACTTAATTTGTAAACGACTAAAATGACTTTGGTCGAAACGGGTATCTAGTTGAAACGGGAAAGGTTGATTTTGGGCGAAACGGGCCGCGCCCCTAAATTTGAGACTAACTAAAATTTGTTATAACCAATTATATAAAAATTGTTTGGAAAAAAATAATGTAAATAATTTACTCAGGTAAAACCCTAACCAAACTAAAATCCTGCGTTACTGCGTTTACGTTTATCATATTATCATACACTAGATTTATGAGATTACGGAAACTGTATTATCTACTGTATATTGCTATGTGAACAATTTTTATATATGACAATCCGAGTATCAAACATATTAAATTGTATAATATTGGTTGGTACTCGGTATGTATTTAATATAGTTGTAATTACTTGAAAACATCAATCAGATTATCAGAATCTATAACTCTAGATTTTAATTATATAAAATAATTATTAATTTAAAATATATACATATATGTCTTGTTTCCTGAATATTTTAGTAAATAAATACATAGCAATAATAATAATATTAATTCAAGTGATTTATGAAAAACAAAATCGTTTTAATTTTAATTTTTTTTTTGTAAAATGTCAGTTTTGGTTTGAATAACTACTCTTGAAAACACCGTAAAAAATATTAAATTTCACATTTAGAACATAAACCATTTTACCTGATGTCGTCTTGCGCATGCAATTATATTATATAGGATATAAATAACATTTATATTAGAATTGCAGATATTTAAATACATTTTAAGATAGTTTGAGTCATCACTCGGTCTCTCGCATCAATATGATATCGTCACATTTCATTATATTTAGGTATTATATAAGTATATTGATGTAGGGTCATTAATCCTCTTAACGACAGAAACAGAACGGAATTTACGTAGGTAGGTATAAACGAAAAAATAGGTCAGAGCGATGGAGATGGGAAAAAAAGTTAATGCGTTTTAAAATAAAAAAGGGTGTTGTAGTGAAATATTTGTCATCCCCAAAAATTATAAAAAAAAGTAAAGTTGAATAATTAAAATATATTTTTATTTTTTACGTTTAAATTTATTATAATTAAATTACTAAGTACCGCTATAGCAACCAATCTATTTAGGATATATTCAAAGAAAAATTGTGACTTGTAGAAAATATATTTATCACTTATATTCATTACCAATAGTCTATAGTTATACACTTATACCTTGTATATACAAATATAATGCTAATATTTTTTTTCATTATTAAATACTTGATGTGTTTAAGGAGTCTGAGCATAGGCGGAAATCCATTAAAATTTCAGGGTTGGCTAACATTATTAACATTAATTTCGGGGGCTTCGATCCAAAAAGGAGGAGGCTTGACGGACTTTTGGGGGGAACTATGCCTCAAGCCCCCCCCCCCGATTTCCGCCAATAAACCTAAGCAAAATATGTTTTTAATGATTACAACAATAATTTCGTTACAAATTTATTTATTTGGCTTTTGGCTATTTATTGAATTGAAATAAGATTATGAAAAACATAATTTTGTGCACATATACAAATTTTAGTTTTAAAATTTAAATATAGGTAGGTACGTATAATATTCTAAAAAAATAAATACATTTTAAGTACATACACTCACATAAATTTATATATATTTGCTATATGCTCTTTGGGGCGTATAATCATCAAAAAAATAAAATAAAATATATTTATTAAATCCGATGTTAAATGCATATAATATATATAAGTAAACCCATACATAATATTATACAAAATATAAATAATAAATGTGATATTTATATTCGTATAGTCTTAAATAAATTGGTAAAACATTTTATAAATTAATTTAATGCATACACCATCTTCAAGCATTTTCTATTCATAAATGGGCAATATTTTAAAGATTATTTTTACGACTGTTTTTATCATACCTATGCCAAAAGTAATTTTTTCTTTTAATACCTGTATATCTATAGTATGTGCAGCCGTGTAGGTGTCTATTGTATATACAAAGTTTCCATATTTATCTATTTACAATTCAACACTTTACAATGTTTAAATCATATTTTACTGTTCTTATATTATTAATAATTACACAACATGCAGCATAAGTTATCAAAATAATATACAATGTGAGTTATCAACATTTAGAGCATTTTTTATTCCTAAAAGTTGATGACTCTATAAAGTTTATGGAAACTTGCATATTTCAATAGATTTAAATATCAAAAGGAAACTACTTTTAGCGGTTTTAATAGTTATATAATATTATAATATATATTCATATTTCACACTTTTATAATATTACTATTTTATAATGCAGATATATTTCAGTACGTGTTACAGACTACATATAATATAGTATATTAATCTTAGATCATATTATACTATTAGGTACCTCGTACCTATATGATCTAAGGTAGTAATATAGGTACCTATATGGCTATATAGTATATTTATATGAAGTACGATGTTTCCAATTTTCTCGAATAGAAGTTTTATCACGATGCTATTTAAAATGTAGAACGTCGTAAACTTTTATAATACTTAATAGTAGTTTACTTAATTGATTTGATGAGCTACCAAAAAATTTAAATAATTATTAATTTTTTTTCTTGTTTTTTTCAGGCTAATGTCATTGTTGGTGTTTTTTTTGGAAATTACTTGGGCTATCACATTGTTCCTAAATGTATGCATAAAGTAAGTTATTACATTATTATGAAATACAATATAATTTATTTTACGAACGTTCAACAATAATCTATTTTTTTCAACTAGATAAAATAAAATATTAATCAAAAAGTTATTAAATTATTTGAATGTATACATTAGTAGGTACATTACTATAATAGTCATTAAACATACGTAATACGTATTAAGTAGATACTTGGGTACCTTTTACATAATAATGCCTACATTTCAGCTAAGATTTTTTCATACGATAATCTATTGCTGGCCAAAGCACTGGACCTCTTGCGAGTCCAGCATGCGAATCTTATTTTGCTAATGCCGTATGCAATTTATGTGTCACAGTCCACAGACCTAAGACAGTTTCATGTTAAACTATGTCTTAAGTGACACAAAAACTGACTATGCATATCTACGGCGACATAAGTTACATAACTATTATTATTAGTAATTCAAAATAATAATTACCTCCAACTTGGTAAATTTTCTTAAATTCAATTTTTTTTTAACTGTTTTAAAAAATATGATCAACAAAACGTCTATCTTGGACATTTAAAAAATTGAATTGCCTAAAAAAAATTTTGGTAATTTTTGAATTTTTAAAAAAAAAAACCAAATCTTAAGCTATTCAATCAGAATTTCCATACTTATAACAGCAAAAAAAACTGCATTTAAATATATTGATTTTCCACTGAGATACTAAGGGTGATACGGGACTTTTGGGACATATACTATATATTATCTAACATATACGTTAATTTTAATTACTATTGAGTGTTGATCAGTACCTAATGCTTACTGCAGTAGTATACCTAATTTATATTTACATTATAAAATAAAATATTAATATCCCTATAATTTTGGTTCATTGTATCATTGGCGCAAATGACTTGCTTATTTTTAATAACTTTGGCAGTTTGGTGCTTATGTAATAGATATACCTAGCCCATCACAATATTATTATAAACGGTAATGATAAGTACTATGCGTAGGTAAAATATATTTTGTGTTTATATGTTCTTAAATGAATCGTTTACCCACGTGAAGGTCAATCATTCAATCATGTAGTCCAAATCACCAAATGACTATTTAGAAACATAAAAATGTAGGCACCTACCTACAATGGTCAATGACTAACGAAATTGGTTACCAATAAATCGGTAAATCGCTCAATCACTAAAATAGTGAAGACCATTAATATCTGTGGACACGGTGTTTCGGTAAAAAGTATTTGGAACTGTACCATTGTTTTTAGTTTACTTTTTCCATGCGGTAGCCGGTAGGTAGGTACCTAAATAAATCATAGTTTTGGGTACGTTATACACTTATACCTATGGATATTAGACAGTATTATTATGTTATGCACAAAATTTTTAATAGTTTTAGAAAAACATGCAGCTTATCCTTTATTTGATGTTAAAAATGTCTAGAAAACAACTATTTTTATAAACCCTTATCTGACCTTTTTTTGTGGAAAAAAAAGAAGTTTTAAAAGCACCGTATACTAAAACAATTTATTAATATAAGTTATTTTTATTGTGTCCGAACGTACCAAGAAGTAAAAACAGCAATCGAGTAATTTTTTAGTAAATTTAAATAAAATGAAACATAATTTTAACATTATTGTACAATATATATTATAAGATTTTAAATAATATATAGGTAGGTGCCTAATAAATATTCTGAAGGTTTAAAGTAAAAGCATGATAGACAAATTAAAATATACAAATATGTTATATAAGCTATACCTACGTCTATATCCAGTAAAATAAGTATATTTTTCATTAATTTTAAGGCAACTTCCGTTTAAACATCACAAGATAAAATCTGTTATTACGATTCCCTTCGTTTACGATCGAGTAAAAACATACCATACCTATACATTTTACACACCAGTACACCACACGACACTAGTGTTTGACGTATAATCTGGTTTATATATTAGTGAATTTTTATTTTAAAGTCATAAAAAATACATGAACAAAAACTACGATTTTACCATTTTAAGCTATATTATATTATTGAGTTGTTACTTACAATAAACGGAAACTAAATAATATGGGGTAATATTGTAATATTGTAATAGGTAGTTAAGAACTTTCATCGAGTAGGAAGGTATAGCCGACTGTTTAGCTGAGGGCAAATTAGCCATTAGGCTCATAATATCTATTAATTTATTATTATCTGTATATTATTAGCTATTTCAGAGATTTATACATTTATTATTTTTATTATGGGCAGTGAAAATATAGTCCAGCCCAATATTGATATCAATTCACCTAGGTCATACGACTGTACCGACAATATTATAATAACGTGTTATTAAAAAAATATTTACTAATAATATACTGTACAGGAATTGCGGTATTGGTAATTGGTGTATTTTTATAGTTTCTCAACCGTTGATCTATAATGTTATACTGAATATATTAATACATAACAGCGAACAGGCACTAATAATTTATTCTATACATATACAGTATGATTTCAGTCGGAACTTAAAATAATACCCCCTACCAATATTATAAGTAATCATAAACGGTGATTTAGTCCAATTCGTATGGGGGTGGGGTAATTTATTTTTAATAAAGCTTACATTTAAATGGGCAAAAAAATTCGTACAAGAACCATATTAAACATTACGATATACATGAATGGGAATTTGTTAAAAGGGACCCAAGTTACATTTTTGACAAGAATAGTTTTGTTGTATATTATTCATCCTCTTATGTAAACACATACTATATGCTTATAATTTGGAAATCAAAGACTGATTCAATAAAATTAGGTACATAAGTTTTTCTTTTCTTTTTAATCTTAATAAAAAAATATTGTTTTTTTAAGATTGTTATTCGTTTGTTTATAGTCAAAGTTCGTTATTTACTTGCATTGATATCTATTTAATTGGATAAAATAAATAAGAAGGCACCTATTATATTATTTTAAAATGTGACTATTATATTAAATTATGATACCTACCTACCTTAAATTAATAAAATTATTAGAATTTGTTTAAAGGTACCTTATGTCACATTACAAAAATTCGTTATTTATTAAAGTACAAATTTTTTTTTAAATAATGCTTTTTTGCTATTTATTTTTTATACAATACTATTTAATCTAAATTGTGATGATTGATCTTATCAAGCAAATAGAAATAAAGGAAAACTATTTTTTGTTTCTCCTAGAAAGTAGTTGAAAATGTACATGGGCCTAACCTTTCAACAAATGCCATTCAATATACATATAGGTTATAGGTACCTACCTAGTATCGATGTAAATAATATTATAATAGAATATTAAATATTTTTGTTTTCTTTATACTCATCTCGATCAATATTACCTGTGCAAAGAACAATAATAATTAATAAACATATTATATAAATTACAATTATTTATAATAATCAAACATATTATTTTCAAAACAGCAAAAAATCAAAAATGTGATGACATTTTTAAATTCTATTGAAAGGAAGTAGCAGCTTTTATAAAATACATTTTTTTCATTTTCCTAGAGGATACTACAGTCTAGACCCGATCAATATAAAAACTAATACCAAAGTTCAAAAATAAGCCAAAATAAAAACCGATTTTAAAATAATAATAGTAATACCAAATCGTTTTCATATTATAATCATACATTATTTATAATTGTAATGGCCAATAGGTAAATTATTTATACAATTAAATTATTAATAATTATATTTGTAAAACGTAAATATAATGTGGAGGGCTTGGGAATAATTTGAGGGGGCCTAGCTAAATAATATTATGTTAATGCATAGAATATTTCAGTCAAACATCGTTCTACTGCATTCGTTACGCGGATGCCTGCCACCTGTGCGATACCAAACAAAAATGTATTATTGAAATTTGCAGAATTAAACCACAACTCTTTTAAATTACTCTAGGTATCTAAGTTTGCAATATTTTTAATAGAAATTTTTTTCTCAAAATTGGATATTTAAAGAAAAATAGCAATACTATTATAGTAAGTTATATTGCTGTTACTAAAAAAAAATATATTATTCGAATAAAGTTAAAACTTTTTGTCATTCCATGTGTAGTGTGTTATGCATATATCTACGTGATTTGTTAGGGGGCAAAAAATCTTGAATCCCCCTCCCCAAAGTATTTCTTAGCTTAACCTCATAAGTAGGTATATAATACATTTTGTTAATAGATACGTGTTAATTCATATATTTTCTAACCCCCCGTAAACCAAATTTACGACTATATGGTATTAGGTACTAAGGTACGTTTAACTCAGTGTTCGGAACGTTCACTAAAAAAATGAACTCGTTCACGTTCACACTCGTGTTTTTTTTCAAACAAACGAGTTCACGTTCACGTTCTTTTAAAAAACGAACGCGTTCATTTAATTTTTTTTTATGAATCGTTAGCCTGCAGTGAATATATAAATTAAAAACCCATAAACATAGGTATACCACTCAACCAAAAAATAAAAATACAATATAGACTTTAAAGCATATACAATTTATAAAGTATCTGATTTAATTTTTAATATCCGAGTATCTGACACGTTATTTGAGTTACATTTTGATAAGGATTTCCTAGTGATAAAATTAAGCGAATACTAGGGTACTTATTATGATTTTAATTATTATTATTATTACAAATTCGTGGAAAAATAATGGGAAAAATGAAAATATTATTATTAAAATATAATTAACTAATATATTTTAATATTTTATACATATAATATTTATTAAATGGTAAATAAATTGAACGTCTTAAAAATCGATCAAATTCATAAAAAATATAAACGTCGTTCACGTTCAAGTTCTATTTGCAAAAAACGAGTGACGCTCACTTATCGTTCACCATATAATATGAACGTGAACTTGTGAACGTGCGTTCATGAACGACGTTCTTTCTAAACTCTGGTTTAACTATACGTCCACCTATACAGAATGAAATGTTCAAAATATTTAGATAAATTGTATGGTGTTTATACGACGAACCTATTTACACCGTTCATAGGTACCTATAACGTCGGTATTGGCAGTTGAGTCAGTAACAGCTATTAATTAAGCTATATAGTAATCTGATGCATGATAAATCATATTATAATAATTTTAGTTATTGTATAATATAATATAATTATTTATTTTTAGTTAAAATTAGTTCAACATACCGTATTACTGATAGAAAAATAAATTACTAATCACTAATGGTATAATATAAATGTATAACAAAATATCCTTTGGAATATTGGCTAACGCCTATAACAGTCAATAGGTAAGTATTATTATATAATATATAGTATAATATTATGTATATTATTATATAACTATATAATGTTTATAATTATGTATTTTTATTGTATACCTAAACATTTTAATAAATTATCATTTATATTTTAAAGGCGAGAATACTACTAGGTACCTATTAGTATAATATGCCTCGGGCCCAAAATGTCCGAATCCAACCTTGGCGTTAATCGCTCCCTATAGTGGCACCAAAGTACTTAACGTTAACATACCTACTTACAATGGCTTAACCAGGGGAGGGAGTGTTTTAGGTGTTGAAATACTCTCTCCCCCTCTTGGACAATTTTATGCAAAAAAAATATATATTTACTCTGTGCTTCAGATTTCTACGAAATATACTCGTATGTCGCCATATTTTATATTGTTAATATTATGAAGATTGATGACTGCACAATGGAGAGCATTGAGAGCAATATATGTAAAGGGCCCCTCCCCAAAAAAAATTATATTTAAACATAAAATTTAATTGATTCCATAAAAAAAACTAATCCTAACTAGACGACTCCTACCTATAGCTTTATAAGGACATAAGGTATAATATTATGCACCGTTCTACCTATATATGTTTATATATTGTGTAAATAAATAAACATCATAATATTTTATGCAATATTTTATGACCATACTTTTTTTTATGTATTGTTATAGAAACGAATTCAGTCCTATATTCAACTTTTGGGAAATAGTGCTGTGGTTGAGGCTTTGGAAGAAATCACTGCTGTACACAGTTTTCTCGCTGGTGTTCTTTTTATGGCCGCACGGTCTATGGCTTTCTAACATAGCAGGTACCTCTTTTCTATATGAATGTGTGATAATAATACATTATCGTATATCTCCGGTTTCCGCCGATTTATATACGTATCGTATATTGTAGATATTGTATTGAATGGTAATATCAGAGATTCAGCCGCTACAAATTTCCCTACCATCGTCTCCACCAAAAAAAAAAAAAAAAAAATTAAATAGTTTTCGATTTTTAAAAATAAATCACAATCTTGTTCATGCTAAGAGTACCCGTATAATAATACGATTGAATAATAGGAAAAACGGTTTAACAAAGAAAAAAATATGAATTATTAATTAAATTTCAACAACCAAATAATATGGAAATCATTAGATATTATGTAACTCAAAAAGATTAATTATAAATTAATTAACGTTAAATGTAGATTGTAAAAATGTAGGTCTTCCTATAATGATTATAAAATTATAGCTCGTTCGAAATAAGCGTTCATAATACCTAATAATATTATTTTATATCAATTAACCAATAAAATGTAGGTAACTAAATAAATGTATGAAATTAAGTTTTGTTCGCAACAATTTCCTCAACTAACTAGACCACATAGGCACAACTCACAAATCTTAGGGGGGGATAAGGGGGCTTAGCCTATGCTAGACCAATAAAATGTATATCAATAGATTCATTGCGACCAGGTGAGTGTCTTAGGTGTTTTTTATCTCGAAATTAAACCCATATATAGGTACCTAATATAAAGTGGCTCAACCCTCAGTCTGACGCAGATTCATACCTACTAATCCCTCGATGATCAAGTAATATTCATAATAATATTATGCTTCACACTATTTGCCTCCCAATTTCAATATACAACTAATTAGTGGATCTTAAACTTCCCTATACTATACCACATCACCACGTAAATAAATCAATTTATGCATAATATACATTATACTATATACATTATACATAATAATGATAACAATTCGTCTTATACGCTGGTACCTCCTACTTATAAACTATAGTATCTATATAGGTATAATATATATTTCTATTTTTTTTTTTTATTATAAGTCTAGAAAGAACTTCATATCTACCTGGCCACCTACTAAAATTATTTAAAATAATAAAAATGTTGAATCACTTAGGTAGGTATACAATATACATATTTTATTACCTGCCCGTTGGGACTTTCCAGTCATACACAATTATTTTCTTTTACGATAAACTTTAGTGAACGTCGGCACGGGAGGCAATAATTCGTATAAAAATTATAGACTTTTTTGACTTCGACAGGCAACTAATATGCGCCAAAGCAAGTACCTAAGTACTAGCACAAATGTACAATACTGCAATTACAGCGATACATGAATTTTGTCTTTCAAATACGAAAATTGGATTTTTTTCTTTATTTCTGGTAGCCATTGGTTACATGGAAGAAAAAACATTTACTTATTATTAATTAATTTGGCTGTCACCGGCAATGAAGTTCCCTTTTAAAAATGTCATTGTATTTTGCTTATTACTCTCGAGTTTAAATTAGAAGTTCCCTATTTTTTTTCACGGGGTGGCTCTAGAAATTAGAATCATTAATTGTCCAATCGTCCATCGGTTATTTTTTTTAAATTTATAGTGCATCAGAGCACCTACATTAGGTTTTAAGGCAAAGTTTTATACTTTTATACACCCAACTCCAAAAAACTGAGCGATCAAATAGGATTTCAACACTCACCAGTGGCACTATACGACCGGTTTTTGCAGCGATTTTTTTTAAAAAAAACCTCATACGGAACCACTAGCTCGACGTCCTGACCCTGTTGTTTACATAATATTTTGGTCGTTGATTTTAGGGCCTCGAGGCCGGCAGACAACTACCTACCTACAATCTAAACCGAATTGCTCATAAATTGATTATATACATTACTTAATCCGCGAAACACGCCAAACTTTGAGCCAATCCTCCTCAGGCGGATTGTCCATCTCGGTAGGATTTGTCTCCAACCCCACACAACCCACTTGACAATTGATAAATTATTATGTCTCGCCGAGCGCCGCGGGTATAATCTATAATATAGTATTATGGTTTATTTTTTTCCCGTGCAAAGTCAGAGACGATACAGCTAGATATATAAAGGATCTCTATACAGCTATATAGTTTTACACGTCAATACGTCATAGACGTATAATATTATAATACGGGTTTTAGGTTTAGGTACATATATTATATATTTATATAAAAAAAAAAGTGTCTCCCTGGCCTCAAGCCCCTCCTTCTAAATACGCCACGGATTACAGATGCCTGTACAACTTTCTATAACGTATAGTATATTGAATAATAATGTACTATATATAACATATAGGATTACCTATTACTATTCACAGGTGTGCCTCGCCGATCGTGTCCCCGTCGATGACTTCTAGTTTTTTCCCACTATTTAATCCTAATTTTTTTTTTTACTACAACCTTATTTAACTAAAACTTGTTTCTAAAAATGGGGAAAGAAAAACTAGCTTTGTCAGGCTCTCTACTCCGCATAGGCATGTCTACGGTGGCAACGTAGGGTGCCTGGGCTGCCCCTGCAATTTTTGAAAGGTGCTGGTCAATCGAGTTTTAAGTCAGGTTATACATTTATTTTTTTTAAAAACTTGATTTTTTTGTGGGTATCGTTATAATATTGCCATTTACTTACAAAGATTGATTTCCCGACTTCCTAAATCGGAAAAACCTACCTACTATAAAGACTTGAGACAGACGACGATGACGGTACAGTACGCATCTATAGGTATTATATTTTTTATTTGTATAGGTAGGTGGTGTAGGTATTAGTAGGTAATCCAAGGCTGTAGATGAATAATATTTCTGAAGTTACTGTAGATTATTATTGTAAATAGATAATTTAGACTTTTTTTAAATTATGTAAATCTTTCATTGTGGAGGGGGGCTTAAAAAAATACGGCTTTGGGTTTTTTCAGTTTACTAATAAGGTAGCGCCGGTTATTGGCTAGGCGATGCCCCTGCCGATGAAGTCTAGTCACTCCTATATGCTCTCTCTAGTAAATAAAACAAACTATATATCATTATAATATGGACTATCTTGAAGAAAAAAAAGTTAGAAAAGTTATATTGACGGAGACACAAACGAAACGGCCGGCAAACCATGTGCCTATTCCTAGTTTGAAATAAATTCTAATAAATGTATAATATACCTACAATTTGTGTAATTTGTGCTTTTCATACAGGTGCCCTGCTGTTGTGGCTATCATTTTTATACGTAGTCATCACGTTCAAGGACTTCGTGCAAAAACGTTCGGACTTTGTCATTGTGCCCAAAGGACAAGCGTCCACGTCGTACGACCAGTAAGTTAGATGGAAAATAATATTATATAGAACGTATCCTACACGTCATGTGTATGTGTGTGCTGTTGTATACGCTATTGTACACAATAATGGTTTTTTCTTTCGGGGATTTACCCCCCCCCCCCCCATCTATCTAGGTCCTGGGACGATTTCCGCTACCGAGAGCTGCAAAATATGAAAAACTTTACTCTAGTTTATATTATTATTATAATGCACTAGGTTAGCTACCTATATACTGCTGTCAACATATCACATCATATCCATTATAAAAGAATTTCCCTCGAGTTTAGGTGTAAAAACAGTTTTGATATATATATATTTATAAGTAAATAGGTACATAGGCAACTGTAGTTCAGTCGTCTATCACAAGACAAAAATATCCTTATCCCGCCATCGATTGTTGTGTGAAGTGTGCAGGTATACCTATGTGCAGTGGAGTGGTGAACATTTATAAACCTTGATGCCCAGCATATATTTCAGTACCTACCCCTTCTTTATCCCCTTAATATAATATATAATACATATAATTATTATGGAACTGTAAATATTTTAATTTTTGTTGTATGTTATTGGTTACCATAATGTACCCAACCACCCCACCCCAAAAAAAAAAATTCACCATGACGCCTAGGCGTCATAAAACCCCATTCACCACGCCACTGCCTATGTGTGTTAGCAAAAACTACTCTACTCTGACGATTTAAATTTACTATGATTATAATATTCATTGAATTTATACACCTGAATGTAAGAGTCAATTTATTTATTTATCATTTAAAACCGTTTCGTGGTTGTAATGTTGTACCTATATAAATATATATATAGTACAAGTGAAAGTACGCGACAAAATGTCTGGTGAAATGGCAGATTAAATATCTGCAGTCACTGCGAAAATACTCAAATACTCAAAAATACATAAATATCTGAAATGTTCATACAATATTCCTTGGTTGATAATTTTAAAGAAACAATAGGTACTCCTATAGTAAAACAAGTCCTTGTGGGGTTTGTAAATTAAAATTTTGAGCAGTGGAGGGTGCCTACACACTTATATGAAATAAAATCCAAATAAATTTGTAGTATAATGGCACAGATTCATTTTTTTTTTTAGAAATGTGGAACTTTTTAATAATCACTGATTAATAGGTATTTAGAAGTATTCTGGTATAATATAATATGTGACTTCAAGAACAAGATTATTAAACCCCCAATGCTTCTTATTTATTCAATATTTTACATCATTACATCAATCATGTTAATAATAATTATGATACTTAATTTTTTATTTATATAGCTATTAGTACTAAACTGTTACAATGGTACTTAATTAAAAACAAGGAATTGCAATTAAAATTAAATTAAAACTAATTACGTATAAATACAATAATACAATAATATATAAATTGGTTTAAATAAAACACAAAAATATATATAATATGATGTGCAATGCCCGTAGATTAGATTAAGGTACTCACTGTTAAATACAAAATTAGTTATATAGGTACTCTTAATAATAATAACATCTTTGGTGCGGAAATAGATTAAAGCCTCTGGTGTAAGAAGGACTGAAGGAACAAACTACAAAGAGGTATTAAAGAGGTATTATTATGCTAGGAAAATCTACAATTAAGAGTTGGTATGAAGTTTTGAACACACTATTAATAGATTAGGAAGTTATGGAAGTAAAATATTGGAAGAAGTATAAATTATCCATATCCCTTTATTAAAAAAATAAATATATATTTTCATATTAATATCTTATATTTAATTATAATTTATAAGTTTATACCTAACCATTTAATTTGTTTAGGTACGACGACATAACCGATTTGCTCGGAGACTCTATTCATGTGTCGTTGTCCGCTGACAATCTATCAGAATTGGACCAGGATGGAATATTAGAACTATAATAATGTTGTTATGTACAAATATTTATGTTATTTTTAATAATATATTCTGTAAATACATTCTTATTTAATATTTATTAAATAAATAAAATATAATTTGTTTTGTTAACTATATTAAATTTGTTTGTATTTAAATCTTTTAAATAGTTTTGTTTTCCTTAACTAACTTCATAATATGAAGAAAAAAAATAAATAACGTAATTTTTATAACCCCTCCATCACAAATAAAAATGATTTTTTTTATATAGGTAATGTGATAATACAACACAATGAAAATGTAATAATACATTATAATATTAAACAAAAAAAGGAGCACTCAGTGGAATACAACATAAAATAATTTCATTACATTTATATATTTATAATTGAATCCATTATACATATTACCACATTGTATTTAAACATTTTGTCTTGGATTGTCAAAAAAATGAATTATTTACATTTTTCTATGATTTATTTAACAAAAAAAACTCTTTAAATACAGTTATATTTTGACAAGTTTGGGACGAAAATTAAAATAGATAAACAATAAACAAGTTGTACTAATTAGTACACCAATGTAAGACAAAAAGTTTAACAATATTTTGCTTATATAATATTTTAGCAATTTAATGTTATCAATATCATATTTCATCCATCTTCCACTTCAAATTAAATTCTAAATATTTATGCAGACCTTAGAGTAACTAAATAAATATAGATTTATATTAGAAGTCTAAACTATTTTGAAATGAGCAATTATAGAAATGTAATATAAGTAATACATTGATAATTTAAAATGATAAAATAATAATATAATTTCCTAAGATTCATTCAAAAACTTTGCCACAATAAATTGCTACCAAATAATTAGATGATATTATAAAATACTAAAATTTGTGACATCAGAGACCGGAATAATGGATATTACAACATTAATATATTTAATACTATGGTGTCATACAGATCCACTGAAGACACCATTAAATGTAATAAATCTATCTACGCTAGATTATATTAAGCTTAATATAATATTATACTAAACAATGGATACTTAAGAGTATCTTTAAATAAAAAAAAAATCAATATGGGAACAGATTAAAAAATCTAATCTATTATTTTTAAGTAAATAGTCATTCGAATTGTCAATTCTCAAATGTTTGTATTTAACTGTTGACACTTAATTTTTTTTTCTTGAAAAAATTTCTTTTTGTAAGAGTGCGTTGTAATGTAACATCTTGTATATTAACATCAATATTTATGGATTCGTTATCAGAAATTGTGAGATTACTTTTATTTTTATTTTTTGAATGTTTTGCCTTGGCTTGCAATCGTTTTGCTTTTTTAGTTTTACCAGAATCAACAGATTTTGGACTATTTTTAATTTTCTCTTTGACATTCGGAGTTGATGTCGATGAAGATTCAGACTTCCTTGTAGTAGATTGCCTTGACTCAGTATTTGATCTAGAAGTAGATTGAGCAAATTCGTTACTTTCAGGTTCTGGTGCAGTAGAAATCTAAAACATAACCAAATAAAAGTTTTATTGCTACAATCAATTTATTTTTTAAAACAATTTATATTTTATATTTGTAGATTATAATATGGTATACATTATAGAATGGTTAGACCCATGTCCTGATAACTTGAAACATTTAGTGTTAGCGACAAATCTCTGATTGATATGCTTGATGTGCGCGTGACATGTGTACAAAGAGAAATGTCACATATTTATCTGATATATATATATATATATATAAATATAAACCATCAGTTGAACCGCTACGGTTCGCCTAATGCATGCGCACATTAAGAATCTCAGTTAGAGATTTTGTACTCATCACTTATGTGTGCTTCAAATTGTTTACACAGCCAAAATGGGTCCATCCATGGTATAATATGATCTAACGGTCTAACACTATAAATAATAATTATTTTGGTACTGGTTTGTTATAGCCCCGCCGCGGCAAGTGAAAACTTTAGAGCCCTGCCCCTCAGATTTGTTATAGCCCAGCCATCCATATAACAATAAATACATAGTATAAATATAAAATAATAAAGTTAATTTATTGATATAAATCTAATAATTTGATGATAGATATACTTAATATTAAAAAATGGAAAAATAACAACCTATAAAATAATGATAAATTTAAAAATGTATACAATTTTTTATAATGTTTATAACATTAAACTCATCTTATTAATATAAAATAATCAATAATCATTATTATATTATTGATTATTAGGTAGGTACCTAAAAGTAATGGTACGTATTTTCTGTAGAATTATTTTATATTTATACGATGTATTTATTGTTATATGGATGGCCTATAACAAACATGAGTGGCGGGGCTATAACAAACCAGTACCATTATTTTTAGTGTATAATATTATAATCTGTTAATACTTACAGTACTATGAAATTGACGCCAGGTTTCTGTGCAATAACTTGATTCATGACCAACATCATTACATATATTACATTTGACTCTGATCATTGATAAACAGATACTACAATTATTTGTAAAATTTTTTTGCCAAGTACCACACTAAAACATATAGCAACTTGATTAATAGATAAATTTAAATAGTATAGGTACTTGAGCATATTTATAACTAGTTTCAAATACTAGGTAATACAATTAAATTAAGATGTAAAAATAAGCACAATTTACCATTTCTATTCTAGTCACGTAGGCTAAGTGGATGTCACACCTGCATCCGTTTTACACACGAACAACATAGACAAAACACGTTTATGCAGTCTGAGGGGAACTCGCTCAATTTTGGTTTTAAAGTAAAAATACTTATTATATAATTGAATTGAGACAATAATTCTGAGGGCAAGTCGTGGCGGTTTTTCCATTTTAATCAATATAATGTTCATTATATTGTTTAGAAATAGAAATAATTTCAACATTTTTAAATTACCTTTAACTTTTCAAAATTAAAATTTGTAAAAAAAAACCCAACAACTTGCCCTCAGAAATATTGTCACAATTCAATTTTAAGATAGGTACTTTTACTCTAGAATCAAAATTGATTGAGTTCTACTTAGACTACATAAACGCATTTTGAATATGTTGTACGTGTGTAAGACGGAGACAACACATGCGGGTGTGACGTCCTCTTAAGGGCATAAGGTTATGAGCACTGAATGGTAAAAATGGAAAATTAAAATGTTCAATGTCTATATGTAATGTAAGATATCATGTAACGAGTCAAAACTGTAATAACTACTTGTAAGTATACTCTATTCCTAATAAGTCTGGAAAAAAATCCCAATGGAAAAGCATCGCAGCTTGATTGCAGTCTCATAGGCTGCAGTTGGCAAAGCTGACCGACCACTGCAGCTAATCACAGAGATTCTACCATGCAGAGGCTGAGCAGTTTTTCCAAACTTAACAACTTAGCATAATTATTTGAAATAGAGTATAGTAACAAATAACAATACAATACATGTAAAGACTTTTTTTAAAGATATAATACATTTTTGGATGATGACGACGCACACACTCAGCAGATCACGTTTAAAAAAAATTAGAATGAATTAACCTCTTATAAAATGTAAAGGTAAGATTATTATCTAGGGCATTAGTTATATTTTAATTTCTAAGTGAGTTATAGTGAGTGTATTTTAAGAAGTACAAACAATTTACGATTTTAAAATACTATGAGTATTACATATAAAGGAGCACAACGTGATCTGCTGAGCGTAAAATTTGGTATGTCGAACATGTGTAAGACGGAGACAACATATGCGGGTGTGACGTCCTATTAAACAGATGTTAATAAAATCAATTATTTATCTTTCAATACAATTTTTTAACAATCTGTAGTAAATATTATAATAAAAATTATTTATTAGAATAAAATAAAACTTACCGATAAACATATTTTTTTATTACAGCTATGAAAATGATGTCCTTCCACTCCACACATAATACAAATTGGAGGTTTATATTGATCCTTGCAATTATAACCAGTATGACCGAATTGTCTACAAATATTACATCTCATTCTAGGTGTATTTGAATTATATTTATTTACATCCAAGGGATCCAAAGACCAATCAACTGGATTCGAACCATATTTTTCTAAATTTGTAAAATATTACATATTATTAACACGTACAAATAAAAACATTAGAATTTACCTTTAATTTTGTTAAGTTCTTCTCTACAGTCATAATTTCGTTTTGACTTTTGAATTTTAGTATAAAATTTAACCATATCTGGAGTCCATGTCTTTGGGCATCTATACCACAAACTACATTCAGTTGGTTTTCCAATACGATATTGTTTCAAAATTTCATTAGCGGTCATTGGCGTTGCTCGTTCATTATTTAAAGATACGTTTAGAGAAACTTTATGTGCACTACTAGTTTTAGTATTCATTTTATTTAACCCACTTTTCTCTTTATATTCTTTCAACGCATCAGTACTTTTAATAATATTAATATACTCTTCAATACTTTCATTATTTATATTTTTCTTCTTCTTTTTTTTCTTCTTTTTTTTTAAACTTGTTTCAGTAAATTCGCTATCAACTATTATACTAGTGATACCTTGAGAAGTTTCAATGTCGTCATCATCTAAAACAATTGTTGGTATAACACTATTTTTACACACCTCGGATAGATTAACGGTGGAGTCGATAACTACATCGGCTGGATCTTTGAGAAACACAACAATTTCGCCATTGGTATTGAATTCTACACCATACTTTGGATCAATGAATGGTGACTCTGACGTCCCTGAAAAATCGTTATGGTGGATAATTCCATAGATTCGAGCTTCGAGTTCTGATCGCGTTTCTGATAGTTCACTAGAGCAATCACTGTGTTCATCAAATAAATCTGAGTCCATTTTCCATTGTTTTTAACTTAAAACTAAAGAAAGCGATCTTACACTACAACAAAGCTATAACGGTAAAAAAAAAACAAGTCCCTCTATGTAGCTGAACGAAATCTGCATCCATTTTACGGTTGAAAACAAATCATAAACATTAACTGTGCATAGTTACCGATTGAAAATATTATATTAAGTTTTATATAAATGGTAAATCGAAACAATACATATTTAATACTTTTATTTATAACAAACGTCCCCGCAACTAGAATACTAGACTACACAGTACACATTACAATATGTGTTGTTATGGTTAGAGCCTTTGAGGTTTCATTGTTTCTGATAAAGAGTTTCCATAATAATAATAATAATAATAATATATCCACTTTATTACGCTCTAATTATTCGAGGTTATGTTATTGAACCATTCAGGTTAGCCACATTCACAATTTAAGATAGTATCTAGAGGAAGCTGGTGATACCATATTGTTCTATGTTGAATGGTGATACGGTTCTGTGGTGTTACCTCTGTGGCTCTGTAGTTTACTTCATAGATGATCTGTGCTTGTTCTGTTAAGGGCGTTAGAGCCCTGTTGGGGCCCAGTAAAGTATCTCCGATAGCTTCGGCTTCTGTGCCCACTTCAAAATTGTTTACTAATATTTTAAATTTTTAAATTACACATCCTATGGCCCTAAAGTATTTTAGTATTCGTCCAATATTACCTATTGTTCTGTGATATTATCGACAAAAAATTATAGACGGTATAATCTATAACCACAAAACCCATGATTATATTTGTGGGTTTATACCTACTAACCAGTAAATGTTTACACCTTATTATCGTTTATCACGAATCACGATTCACGTCTTCGCAGTTGTAAGTTATTCACGAGACGAATTCTTAAACTTAAGTACTTTAGGGGACTTTACCCTTGACTTTAAAATAATATGAGAGCTGCAACATAATTATTGACGAAAGACATTCTTCTGAATATAATTTTCTAAATTCTAATCACTAGACCCAAGTTTAGAATCATGATGTCGACGGCATCCAAGTGCGTTGAAAATTGTATCCGAACGAAATTGCAAAACCGATTCAATCCAAAAGTGTTGCAACTCATCAACGAGTCGCACATGCACAATGTACCAAAAGACTCGGAAACGCATTTCAAAGTCGTTATTGTATCTGATGAATTCGAAGGCATGCCCTTGATTAAGGTATAGGTCTAGGAGGTATGTACGTGTATAACGACAGAACCTGATCAAAAAACCTAATCTTGTTACAGAGACACCGTTTGGTAAACGCGATACTGACGGATGAGCTCAAGTCCGGCGTACACGCTTTGTCTATAGTGGCCAAAGCTCCGGCCCAGTGGAAAGACGAACCGGTCGAAAGTAGTCCCAATTGTCGAGGTGGTTTTGGAAAGTGAACTTTGTGAGCAATAGGGTTCGAGAGAAATGTTCCGACATAGATCAATGCTATATTTTATAATAATTTATAATCGTATTGTGCATAATATTACACCTACAGAACATTGTCAGTTCATTTAAAAATACATTAAACATTTAAAAGCAAATGTCAATAATATGATCACACATTATATTAATGTTTAAATAATTATTTATTGAGTACCATTAAATAGATATGTTTTTACAAAGAGAATATAACAATAGTTTTTATTCAGTATTTGTTAGAGGTAATTTTTATTCTGAACAAATTATTCTTTTGGTACCATGCACTGATATACATTTATAACAAGCACTGTTGATTGTTAATCTTGATAAGAGTTAAATAATTGATGGCTGATGTAAGCTAATAGCATTCTACTTTATATAACTTAAAAACTGGTGGCCTTGTCACTTTATGTCAGTATAACAATTTTTGTTTAGTTATATAAGTTTATACAACCCTACATTTAGTGTCCAAGTACACACTGCAACTCCAGGCATAATTCAAACACTATGGCAGATACCGTTGGAAAGGTACAAAATCTGGAATACAATTTTATAGTAATGTATAAAATACTAATACGTTATGATTTAATTTTTCAGGTTATTAAATGTAAGGCAGCTGTTGCTTGGGAGGCAAAGAAACCATTAACTCTTGAAGAAGTTGAAGTAGCGCCACCAAAGGAAAATGAGGTTAGAGTAAAAATTCTTGCCACAGCTATATGTCATACCGACGCGTATACCATGGATGGTCATGATCCAGAAGGAAACTTCCCTTGTATTTTGGGTCACGAAGGAGCAGGAATTGTTGAAAGTGTTGGTCCCAATGTTGTAGAATTCCAACCAGGTTGATATTATATATTATCAAACCTTTTTTCACTGATGTTAATATGCTAAAAATAATGTTTTAGGCGATCATGTTATTCCTTTATACATTCCACAGTGCGGAGATTGTAAATTTTGTTTGTCTCCAAAAACTAATGTATGTAGTAAAATTAGAGTTACTCAAGGTCAAGGTAAAATGCCCGACAATACTTCTCGTTTTACTTGCAAAGGACAATCCCTGTACCATTTCATGGGATGCTCAACTTTTAGTGAATACACAGTGGTAGCTGATATTTCATTATGCAAGGTAATACATTATTATCAAATTATTAGTGACATACTGTAATAATTACACTAATTGATATTATATATTATACTAAGACCACCAAGAGAACACTTTTTGGTAGCGACTAAAACTTGTCCATTCCCTCCCCTAAACCTGCCCAAACGCTGGCCGCCGCGTAGCAAATGGGGGAATTAGCGGTGGCGACTACAGTACGTTTCACGAAACTAGCGACACCGCCGTAGGCAAAAATTTGGGTGTTCCGCTGTTTCTCAAAATTGCACCCAATATGCGGAAATTTGGAATTACAAATTTCTTTTATAAAAAAATACCGTGCTTTTTTAGTCACACGTTTAGGAAACTCTACCACCGGAAGCATCGCTAGTTTCGTGAAACTTACTATAGGTAGTAGAGTGGGAGAAATTCGGGTACAAATCCACAGAGCTTGATCATTTGCATGCGCAACGGAGTAGTGTTCTCTCGGTGGCCTTAGTATACATTAATTATTAACATTGAGTATATATTGTACAATATAAATATACACCATATTATGTACCATATTATGTATAATATATATATACACCATGGTATTATTAAAATGAAATAATGATAGCTATAAATTAATAAACAAAAATATAAATCATAAAATTAAATAAACTTAATAAGTAACTCAGTAAAATTATATTTTTACCTGTAAAAAAAACTATTTCATTTTTATGAAAATAATATTAATTAATTATTAATTACTATTATTATTTTATCTAGGTAGATAACACTGCATCTTTTGACAAAATTTGCCTTTTGGGATGTGGTGTTTCAACTGGATTTGGAGCAGCTCTAAACACCGCAAAAGTCGAACCAAATTCAACATGTGCCATTTTTGGCTTAGGGGCTGTAGGGTTGGCAGTGATAATGGGTTGTAAAGCTGCCGGTGCAAAGAAAATCATTGGTGTGGATTTAAATGAAAGCAAATTTGAATTAGGTGTATATCATTCATTTCTATTCATTAGATAAAAAGCCGTAAAAAATCATTAATGTTATAATTTGTCTAACTTTTTAGCTAAATTATTTGGAGCTACTGATTTTGTAAATCCGTTGAAGTACGAAAAACCTATACAAGATGTTCTTATTGAGATGACTGATGGTGGACTTGACTATACATTTGAATGTATTGGAAATGTTAAAACAATGGCAAGTGAAATACAAATATATTATATTAAATTTTCATGGAAAAGTAATTTTATTTATTTTCACAGAGAGCTGCATTAGAAGCTTGTCATAAAGGTTGGGGTGTATCTGTAATTATTGGAGTGGCTGCTGCTGGTCAAGAAATTTCTACCAGACCTTTTCAGCTTGTTACTGGACGTACATGGAAAGGAACTGCATTTGGAGGTATCTTAATTGTTTTTACTCTTCCAGATGTACATTTGGATATCTGTGTATTATAAATCAATGCTAATATTATCAAAAACTATTATTTCAAGGATGGAAAAGTAAAGAGAGTATTCCTGAATTAGTTTTAAAATACTTGGATAAAAACCTAATGTTAGACGAGTTTGTAAGCCATAAACTCCCATTTGAATCTATCAATGAAGGATTTGAATTACTGCACTCAGGGAAAAGGTAGTTGTTATTTAAAAACATATAATAATATTAATTGGGTTTTCTATAAAATTAATTACATATTTTTTTTTTCAGTATTCGTACAGTACTTGAGTTTTAGTACAGAATTAAGCTACAAAATAAAGAAAAAGTAAATAATATAAAATGTGTATTCAATAAAACGATATTAGAAATACAAAACAAATAATTAATTATTTTTACAAATGATTCACAAATAATTATATTTTTAAGTAAAAACCAAGGAACAAAAAATATACTTATTATAATGCTACAAGTTAAAACTACACTTTTAACATTACACTACTATAATCATACCTATTAAACTTGTTAATTATTTATGAAAATGTATAATAGTTTTTATAAATAAAACATTGGCTGCAAAGATATTAAATATTATCCTCAACTTTTTCAATAGTATTCTGAATAATTTGTTTTACGTTGATTGGTGTTCCAAAGTTACCATGTATACTTACTGGGTATTTCTATCTAACATTAAGAATTTTCTTCGATTGTTCTGAAGTTATACATAGTAAAAAAAGTTACCACAGTAAGTTTAAAATTGTACAAAAATTATTACAAAACTGTATACTTTGAAATAAATACTGTTTACAATTTAAAATAAAAAAAAATCGCTTTGCGGTATGGCATATTTAATAACGTAGATAATACCAGAAATAATACTTTATACACATTAACACGGTCATTGCGTACAATGTCAATTGGTGTCATTCAGCACCATTCAAATATGCTAAATGTCTTGTACCTCGCTAATCAATGCACTATAACTTGGTCAGCATTACAACTATTTGGTTTTGGTCAGTGTCTCCTATATAAGTATTATTTCCTACGTACTAGCAAGTCGTACATCAAAATGCAATTTTTCAATTGTTAAAAAATATTTTAAGCACAGGAACAAGACAACAAGTATATACAAATATGATACACAGTGAATGTGTTAAGTAAAGTAGTTTAACATTTCTAAAATCAAAACTTTTATAACTATATTGTTTATAATATTAATTATTTGTACAACTTTGTGCAATACGATAGGATATTTAGTTAGTTTCTTTTTATTATGTAAAAGTACAAATACATTTCTATAATGAATAAAAAAGTTGTTGAACTATAACAATCAAAATTTATTTTTTTTAACAGAATATTTTTTCAATGTTTTAAACTGCCAACATATTATTTCGTAAACATTAGCTAATAAATGTCCAGCTATTAATCCAACTGAACATGGAATTGGCCATCGTTGCCATTCAGTTTCCCAATCAAATGGTATTACTGCTGCACCAATGAACCCTCCTAAAATTGTTGCTCGAAAATTGTTCTTTTCAAATACTTCAACAGTGCTATCGAATTCTGTTTCAAAACAATCAGTTAATAGTAATGGCAATATATTTGATCCTAATTGAATGGCAGTGGGTGTAATTATGAGTGCTGTTGCGAGTACAGAAAATACAAAAGTTTGTTCTTGTTTAGTAGTCAATGGTGCGCCGAAGAGAATTGAAAATAAATATGATACACCCACTGCTAGCACAGTGGAAACTATAAACTGTAGTGCCCAGAATATAGGATTGCCTTTTGGCTTGATTTGATTTGTTGTTCTACTGACTAGATAAGAATGGCAGGCAAATTTAGCGAATTCAATTGTGTAACATGTAACAATAATGATCATTGAGTTGCGATCAATTAACAAATTGTAGTTTCTATCCAACAAAAGCCACACGAACAGGCCCAAATAGCAAAACGAGCTGAAGCAGTGCGGTATGAGTTCTGGATCCTTGTTCGCTTCTGTTTGAATGAAAGCACTTGGCGCTTTGTATTCGGCTGGATTCGATGGATTGATCAACACACTGGACGATTCCAATTTTTTAATAACGTTTCTAACGTTTTTCTTTGCCATTGTTCGATAAGTAGATTGATTAAAATTGATTTAGTAGGTATTAGGTACTCACAGTGTATGACGTCATAGCAATGCATGTACATATTCGGTCAAGTTCAAAGGCGCCTCGACATTTTATGGAAGTCGACATAATATTATTGGTATTTGGTCTGTTCTGTCTTCTGTGGTATTTTAATTTTTTATCTGCACATTAGAAATTCGGAACGCAATAAGTTTATCTTAATACTTTACACGTACAGTCTCGATTCCGCCCCGTGACCGTCGCCCCAGCCTAGAGATTAATAATAACAAATACTTACCTAACAATATTGACATTTGAAAAAAATATGAAATAACATACAAAATAGTGTAAATAATTATTATTGAAGTGTCGTTATCAATTAATGTAGTCTTTTTTTTTTTAAACTCTATTATCATGAAAAGTGAGGTTGTCGGGACTGTACACACAAAATATACCCAAAAAAATTATTATACCATTTTTATATATTATACTATATGAAACAATATAAAAATACTTATAACTTATAAGCATGATCTATAGGGGGTATCCGGACATTTCCCCCCCGGCTGTTTTCGTCAAAGTAGGACATTTCCCCCCTGATAAATTTTGGATGTAGACATTTTCCTCCCGTTTTTTTTGTTTTTATTTTTAATTATTTACCTTCAAATATAAAATTATTGTTTTTAACATATTTATTATTTTAGATTCTGAGTGGAACGATGAATGTATTGATTTTACAATGATGTGTGTTTTTTATTTTTTTATTTTTGTGTCTGTGTACAGTGTACACGATTAGTGGTCGAAATATTGATTCGATTATCAACTTCAGTATCATATTGTTTGATGGGAAAGTGAATCTAGTATTCTGCCACTATTCTAATATCTAGTTGGTACTTTTGGGAGGTCAATGGTTTATTAGTTTATAGTAAATTCCCAATAGTTTTCAAAAGCGCCTGGAAAACAAAATAAAAAATTAAGGAGTAACGGGAATTTTTACGCAAAATCGGTTTTTGACGAAATCGATTTTGGCTTTTGGTGTAACTCGAAAACAAATGATCATAGATACATGAAATTTTCACTGGTTGTTTATATTTACATTTTCTATACACGATAAAATGTTCAAAATATTTTGATTTATTTTGAACTGTTTAGGGACATTTCCAGTTTTCAATTTTATAAGTTTTTTTTTTTATGAATATCAATAAAACTTTATTTGTTGAGTAAAAATACTTGAAAATTTAATCTGCCCCCCCACACCACCCGTAGTCATAATAATTACAGATTTTGTACTGTTTAAAAAAACTATAAATATTTTAAATTTTAATACATTATAATAAAAAGTCTAATTTTCTTGTCTTTTTTGAAAGATCGTCCACCACTTCCTCAGCTGTTAGTGGCACATGTCCATGGATTTCCAACATTGTGAGTCCATTAAGATGGGCGGATGGGTCTAAAATAATTTAACCAACCATCATGTTTGTAAATAAAAGTCAACACCGACTGTATGTTATGTTGTCAAATAATAAAAAAATGCACACTAAAATATAGGTATGTAATAGTGGTAATACTTTTTTAATAGGGTGCTACATGACCCGCATGTATTCTCTCTGTCTTACACATATGCCAAATAAAGCCACCAAAGATAAAGCTTAAGTAGATCTGTTAGTTTAAGAATGAGAATGAATTATAAAATGTAAAGGTAATATACTAATATTATTAATTACCTATCTAATGAACCTTATAAGTTTTTTTTTTTATTTTAATTTAAAGCAACTTATGAGTAGTTTAAAATCCACGAATAATTTACAATTTTCAAAAAGCTTATACCAACTGGCTACTGCATTAAAATAACATCAAAACATAAAATTTCCAATAGTTTTCAAAAGCGCAGAGAAAAACCAAATAAAAATTTAACAAAAACGGGAATTTTTACTCAAAATCGTTTATTGACTAAATCGATTTTGGTTTTTGATGTAACTCTAAAAGAAATTACTGTAGTAGATACATGACAATTTCACTGAATGTTTATATTTTCATTTGCTATACACCATTTTTTAAGTTTTATTTCTATAAATGTCAATAAAATATTTGTTGGGTCAGAAAGCGTGAAAATTTAACATAAGACTTCTGATATATTGTTACAATAACAGTTGAAAAATATTTAAAATACATAGGCACACATTTTTTTTATAAACATTTATAGTTTGAGTTTTGACAACATTTATCAAGTTTAAAATTTAAAAAGGTGCTCTGCTGTACAGTAGATTACAAAGTGGGTCACTGTATAGTAGATGGTATTAATGGTTTTTTTTTTTGATAAAGGTAGATAATCTTATAAGGTATCTTGTATTACATTTTAAAATCTTAGATTTAAGAAAGAAAGAAAGAAAGAACATTTTTTACGAATTCTTAACTCAAAATAATTGAATAATTTTCGTGATTTTTCCATATACTTGGTCAATTTTTGAACTTTAAATGCTAATAAAAAAAACTGTGACTAAAGATTTTTAATATTTTTCATCTGCCTTTGAAAGTTGAAACAATATACTAGGCAGTGCCGTAGACAGGAATTTTATATGGGGGGGGGGGTTATTATAATAATAACATGTTATAGTACTGTTACATGCAACAGTAGCTTTTCTGATAGGAAAGTGAATCTAGTTGGTACTTTGGGGGGTCAAAAGTAAAAATTTCCCAGTAGTTTTCACAAGCGCCGGGAAAAACAACATAAAAATTATGGAAGAACGGGAATTTTTACGCTAAATCGGTTTTCCGAAAAATCGATTTTGGTTTTTAGTGTAACTCTAAAACAAATAAACGTATATACATGAAATGTTCACTGGTTGTTTATATTTGCATTTTCTATACACGATAACATTTTCAAAATATTTTGATTTACTTTGAACTGTTTAGGCACATTTTTATTTTCCATTTTTTTTTAGTTTTTTTTCTAAAAATATCAATAAAATTTTATTTGTTGTTTGCGAAAGCTTGAAAATTTAATAGAAGGCTCCTAGTATATTGTTTCAAAGGCAGATGAAAAATATTAAAAATCCTTAGTCACAATTTTTTTTTATAAGCATTTAAAGTTCAAAAATTGACAAAATATGGAAAAATCATGAAAATTAGCAAATTATTTTGAGTTAAGAATTCGTAAAAATTTTTCTTTTTAAATCTAAGATTTGAAAATGTAATACAAGATTCCTCATAAGATTATCTACATTTATCAAAAAAAAAATGTCTATAAGAAAGTCAAATTAAATTTTTAAGAGCGTTTGAAATTCAAATTTTTACAACATTGGATATTCACTCGATTTCTCATGTAGCGATTTCCTTATTTTGTTGTAATACAAAAACGAATAACTGTAGATACATGAAAATTTCACTGAATGTTTATATTAGAATTTCCTATACACCATACAATTTTGAAAATATTTTGACTCTTTTTCAGCTGTTTGACTGATATTTCAAAATCTAACATCTGAGGCAATCTCTATTTAAAAATATAATTATAGTTAAAAAAATGAACATTAAAATTGAATTTAAGGCATTCATTACTTGAGCTTCTTTGAACATTTTTTTAAATTCATGATCTACATTTTCCCTTAAATTGTCAAGAACCTTGATACTGATATTGGCCAAACTGATCATTTCTCTCAAATCTATGTTTTTTTTTAGCACGGTTTTAACTTTTAAAGTTTTAACTATAATACTGATAATACCTTATTAACACGGACTAAGATATACAGGACTGGACACGACAAGGTTGGAGGGTGTGGGGGGGTTGACTACGAAATGTTTTACAACAGGCAGTGTTCGGGGGGATATTTTCCTTTTAGCATTACTAGCGCCGTCCTAGTGGATACTTATGGAACTAGAACACATCATACAAATTTCTAGTTTCATAAGTATCCACTAAGACGGCGCTAGTAATGCTAAAAGGAAAATATCCCCCCGAACTCCGCCTGTTGTAAAACATTTCGTAACCACAATATTCATCTCGTGTCCAGTCCTGTATATCTTAGTCCGTGTTATTAATATGTTATCTTAAATTTCAGTATTATCAACATAAACATATAATAAGATTATCAATTATCACAGTAACAAAACGGTTTTGGTAATGGTGATTTGTCATTGCGACCATTAGACGATACACAAAATACCTTACTTATAACCCTTAACAACACAAACATCTAAAATATTATTAATAACTATTATTGATAAAAATTTTTTTTTTAATATATAAGATCAGAGGCGGATCTAAGAATTTTTACGCCCGGGAAAATATTAAAATTAAGCCCAATCATAGACCAAGATTGAAAATACAATATCATTCCCTACAATTGTTTTATCATAACTGGAACTAAAATTACAAACATACTTATTAACTTTTAAACACATAATAATATATAGTAATTAATATATTCTGTTGACTGTGGTGTAACCAAGTTTATACTAATAAACTATCACACCAAAAACACTTTAAATTTAAAAACTTAGTTAACATATTGTTGATACATTTTTAATTACTGGAAATACTGTAGTGGTTACTTAATTGTATTTATTATTAGAAATAATAATAATATTAGTTATATATAAATGTTGAAAAATAATCAAAACTTTAATTACCTACCTATCCTGTATAAAAATTATAAACTCTTTTGCTGTTTTGGTTCTATGCGCCTCAGCCTTCAATTATAATAGATTTTTATGGTAAAATATAAAATCTTTTATTCTGATTAGGGTACACAATTTAGGCCAGTAAAAAATTGTATTTAATTAAACAATTTATAATAGAAAAAATGAAAAAGTAAATATTTAAAATCAAATCTTTTTTTTCAAACATAAACAAATGTATAACTATATTGGTAAATATTATAAACTATATATTAACATCATTTTCAATATACAGATATAATATAAGTATCGTACGTTGATTGATAATCTTATAACAGTTATTGTGTAGGTATCAGAAATTTTAACGAAAACACAGCATCAA